CGTCGTGTGTGTGTGTGTGTGTGTGTGTGTGTGTGTGTGTGTGTGTGTGTGTGTGTGGTGATCAGTGGCTCTTGTCGCAGTCCGTACCGTTCTCACGGATGTCAATGGCGACCGTGGTGAACGAGGCAGCGTTGAAGGCCTCCACAACGGCAGCACCGAGCTGGCCAGCACCGCCAAAGACGACAACAAGGTTACGAGCAGACATAGTTCAAGTAGAAAAGAGGTAAGAGGGGTGGTCGTCCTCTTCGACCTCTCCGCTCTCGTGCGCTTCCGAGCTCAAGCTCGAGCTCAGTTGCTCGAGCCGGTCGTCAGCTCAATTCGGTCCCCGCCGCTTCCTCGGTCGCCTTGCCTGGCCACTGCGTTGTTTCGGTGGTGATCAGATGCCTCGCGGACCAGTGACTCGGCGAGGACAGGTTGTTGTTCGGTACAGTTTGCTTGGGCATCACGTACTGCGGCGTGCTGATGGCGAGATGTCGTGGTAGGTCGGGCGATGGTGGTCGGTAGTTGGTGCGGCGATTACAGGCGAGACCAGATAAACGATGGCGTGAGTGGGGCGAGAAACGAGGTGACGGCAGCGCCAATGCCGCCACGGTGCTGACGGGTGGCCTGGGCGGTGGCGGCGGCCTCGAGACGGCTGGCATGGTCCCAGTAGACCGCGAGGGCCTGGTGAAAGTCAGCGGCGGTGCGCGATGGCGGCGACCACGAGCTGTGCGAGGCCCAGAGGGCAGAGACGGCATGGCGCCAGGCCTTGAGGCTGAGGAGGTCGCGGAGGGCAGCGACGACGGTCTGCGCACGGCGATGAGCGATGCCGGCAGCGTGCGGGGTGGCGACGGCCTCAATGGCAGCGCGCGGCCGCGGCTGGAGCCGAGCTGCGTCGACGTCGGCCGGCTGGGGTGGAGCCTCGACCATGCACTTGAGGAGCCAAGCGACGGCACGCTCGTAGACAAGCGGCTCGTTGTAGACCGCTGAGTGTGCGCCGAGCGATCGGGTGGGCAAGTACGGATTGATGGCAGCGAGCGCGTCGAGAACGAGCCTGAGGCGCGGCGAAGCCGAGTCGCGCAAGGCGTTGGCGGCAGCGACAAGGAGCTCGGCAAGGGCCAGCGGCCAGGCAAGCGGGAGATGGCTGGCAAAGAGGACGCGCCAGAGCCGCGGCGAGGAAAAGTGCGGCATCAGCGCCGCATCGGCCGCCACCAGCGAGTCGCCCGCAGACGCCACACACACTGCCACGGTGCCTGCAGCGAGTACTCGCCCAGCCGCCTCCTCGTAGGCCAGGTACGGCGCCGAGTCGAGGACGGCCATGTCGAAGAGCTCCGAGGTTGGCGCGTCAAGCCGGGAGACCTCGCGGATGAGCCGCGGGCCAAGGGTAGCCAGCGAAGTCCCCGCGTGCAAGCCGGCGAGAGTCACCAGACCCACGTGCTGGCTCTGTGGCCGGAGCAGGCCTGCCTGGAGCAGCGCGTCGAGGAGGAGAACGGCGACGGGCGCGCCCTGCGAGTGTGAGACGATGACGACGGCAGACGCCCGCCGGAGCTCGTCGTCGTACTCGGCCCAGAGCAGCGCCTTGGCCATCTCCACCCGCGCTGCAATCGTTCCATGTCCATCAAGCGCTACAGTGGTGACGGTAGGCGGCGGATCGGCTGCCGGATGGCGGACTAGGGCGTCGGCAAATGCCTCGACCAGCGGAGCAGACGGCTGGGTCCGGGTGCCCGGGAGGAGCCACGCGAGCCGGTTGCCCGCCAGAGCCCATCCATGGAGGCCCAGAACAAGAACATGGCCCAGACTGGCAGGGTCACGCCGTCGGCTTTCACTCGTCAAGCCAATAGCACTCCCGATCGCATGCACCGCGTTGCGGGCGATGAGCCGCCAACTCGGCGCTGCCGACGCCATCTCCAGCTCGCCGGCCTCGGTCCCGTCCCACACCCGGCCCCCACCACCGCCATGTCGGCTGAGCTCGGATATGTCAACCATGGCGCCAAGTACTCAAACACGAGACAGTCTCGCCGCGGGATGATTGAGGATGAGCGAGTGACAAGTGTGTGCAGCTACGATGGCTACCTCAGTCTCTGCCGCGGTGAGCGCCGGCGATGGACTGCAACCGAGCGACGCCGTGACGGGCAGTGCCTGAATTGGTTGTATTTCACCAGTCTTGTCACAGCCAGGATCTGTACAACTTGTGGGGCTTGTGGGCTGTGTTGTGGCGTGGGTGATGGGGAGAGATCGCGGTGGTGGTTCCCCACGGTGCGCCACGGTGGCGTGCATTGGCCACGTGCATGTCCGCACCCACCCGGCAACACCGTGCTCTGGCTAGAGCAAATTGTTCGCTGGCCATGTGCTACCACAAGGTCAACGTTAGCCCACGCCCTGCCATGATTCGCGTGGCTTTTATCTGCGACATCATCGACGCCCTCGCCGCCGGCGCCGACGCCGTCAGCTCCACGCCGTCGCGCAAGCGGAAGCGTCCCTCTGCAGCGGCTGCTCGTCATCACCACTCTCCCCAACAAGCCGCTCTGCGATGCGACTGCCTCGCCTGCCGGAAGCTTCATAGCAAGCGATCGCGGCCGCGGACCTTTTGCGCCGCGTGCGGCGTCCATCTCTGCATCGCCGACTGTGTTCTGTTGTAGCAGCCACTATCACATTGTACTGCTCTCTTACAACAATCCATGGACGTTGCGACGTCTGTGGAGCGTCTCGGAGCGCGGCTTGCGCGATGGTCAAATATGTCCATTCTGTAATGGAACTGGTTAAATGCCACACACCACTTTCGGAGCCTTGACGGCTTTTGGTGGCGGCCCACGCTTAAAAGCCACGGCACCCCTTGTCTCTACGGTACGCAAGCCAACAGTTCTACCTGTCAGTACTACACCTACCTAATCTCTTCTGTTATCTCCATTACCCATGCTGGTTGCTTGGTCCCTGACCCTTTGCTAATCTCCCGTTACCATGCCCTGCCCTTCCTCCCTGAAGCTACCGAGTGCCTGCGGCTCTCTGCAACGAGCCAAGCTTTGGTTGCCGGATTCGGATGTGGCAATGTCTGAAAGGAATTGTCAAAAAAATATATGCCCCAGCAGTCTGCCACACTATCTGTCACCTCGTGTGCACATTCCTATCTGGCAGCCAGCTCTATGATAGTTAGCAGGCGCCATTCGATGTAGCACTGCAACTCCATGCTTGTCCACTTTTTTATTAGCTCCCCTCATCACAAACTGCGTACCATATGCAGAGCGAGGAGAAAGAGTATGACCGTGATTTGTGTGCAAAAAATTGGTGTGTCTGGATCCATTTCGGTTTGTTCCTGCCACCTGGTCACTCGACCAATTTTTCGGGATATTGGGACCATTGGGACTACTCACAAACGATCACATTCAGACCTCCACTCACTCAACCCCTTCCCCCTTCCCACCACCACCGCCACCACCCTCTCTCCAGTCGCAGGAGAAGAGAGACGTAAGACAACAAGACGGAGAACGAGTTCCGTGAGGTTTCCTTTCCAACGAAGGAGTAGAGGCAAGCAAGGTACCGCACAGGGCACCGAGGCAAAAAGCATGGCTCAAGCAGCAGCGCAAGCTGTGCTCGGACTCGAGTCTGTGTCGACTCGGCGCGGGTCGATGGACCCAACCGAGTTTGCGATGGACTACAAGTTTCTCAAGACGCTCGGTGAGGGCTCGTTTGGCAAGGTCAAGCTCGCGGTCAACATTCACACGTCGGAGAAGGTTGCGGTCAAGATTCTGGAGAAGAAGCGGCTGCGCAAGGTGGAGGACATGAAGCGGGCACAGCGCGAGATCAAGGTGCTGACACTTGTGCGGCACCCGCACATTGCGCAGATGTACGAGGTGGTCAACACGGACAAGCACATCTACCTGGTGCTGGAGCACGCGCCCGGTGGCGAGCTCTTTGACTACATTGTGGCGCACAAGCGGGTGCGCGAGAAGGAGGCGCGGCTGTTTTTCCGGCAGATCATCTCTGCGGTGAACTACTGCCACACCAACTTTTTCATCCATCGCGACCTCAAGCCAGAGAACCTGCTGCTGGACAAGGATCTGAAGATCAAGATCATCGACTTTGGGTTCTCGAACACGTTCCGGGAGGACGAGCTGATGAAGACGTTCTGCGGCTCGCCGGCGTACGCTGCGCCCGAGATGGTGATGGGCGAGCACTACCGCGGGCCCAAGGTGGACATCTGGTCGCTGGGCGTCATCCTGTTTGCGCTCGTCTGCGGCTTCCTTCCTTTTGATGATGCCAATGTCAACAAGCTGTACTCGAAGATTGTCAAGGGCAAGTACAAGTGCCCGTTCTTCCTCTCGGACTCTGTCAAGGACCTTATTTCTCGGATGCTTGTGACGTCGCCGGACGGGCGTGCAGACATGGACGAGATCATGAACCATCCGTGGGTGACCGAGGGCTTTGGTGGCCCACCCGACACACACCTCTCTGCGCGCGATCCTGTGACCGAGATTGACACGAGTGTGGTGGAGGAGCTCGAGGCCATGGGCTTTTCTGCGGAGCACGTCAAGGCTCAGGTGCTCAACAACGAGGCGTGCCTGGCGACGGCGGCGTACCACCTGGTGGTGGAGAAGCGGAGCCACGATGTGCGGCGGGCCGAGTCGCTGCGGGCACAGCTCTCGGCGAACGCGCACTCGCTGCGCGGCTCGCGGCGGCGCGGCTCGGACGCCAAGCGGCTCTCGCTGCAGCCGATTTCCGAGTCTGGCGACTCGTCGGCGGCGACGTCGCCGCGCCCGGGCAGCGACCGAGCCATGGCTCCGGCGGTGCCGACGCCGCAGCCTGTGCCGCGTAAGCGGCGGCGGCACTCGATTGCAGTGGGGACACAGGCGTCGCACGCCGAGGCGGCGCGGCGGGCGACGGTGCTCGCTGCGCGCACCAGTGTCAATGCGCCCGACTCGCCGGCGGCGTCGCCGAGGTCGTCCGACTCGTCGCGGTCGCGATCGCGGTCGTCGGGCAGGTCCAAGTCCAAGTCCAAGTCCAAGTCCAAATCCAAGTCCAAGGCCAAGCACAAGCTCAAGCTTGCGGCGCTCGACGGCGCCGGCTCGGGCTCGTCAGCGGCGTCGGGTGCGTCGCCGCGGCCGTCGCTCCACGTGCCCGAGCTCGACGGGTCGGTCAACGCCAACGGCGACCTCGAGCTCGCCGACGCGGCAGCCGACGCGGCGATGGCGGCGGCGGCAGCACGGGCGGCGGCAGCACGGTCGCGCAGCGGGCGCCGGTTCTCGCTCGACGCTGCGCTGTCGTCGATGTCGGGCAAGCCGAAGAAGAAGGAGAACGTGGCCGGTCTCCGTGTGGTCAAGGGCCCGTTCTCGGTCGCCACTACAAGCTCCAAGTCGCCCGAGGAGATGGTCATCGAGCTCGTCCGCGTCCTCGAGTCGACTGACACCTCATATACCCGCGACAACTACATCTTTACCTGTGAGTCGTCGGCCAACGGCAACACGGTCCGGTTTGAGATCGAGATCTGCAAGCTGGAGCGGCTCGCCCTCAACGGCCTCCGTCTCAAGCGGCTGGTCGGTGACTCGTGGGTCTACAAGCGGGTCGTCCTCTCGCTCCTCTCGCTCCTCTCATCCAAGGCCGATGGCTCGGGTCTGTAGCACCCGTGCACTACTTTGCTTCCACTCTATTATGCTGGCCGCTAATGCTACTGCTGCTGCCGCTGCCGATGACTTGTGTCGACGACAAGGATGGCCCAACCGTGGTAGCCGCGGTAGCCGTAAACCGTGTTGAGCTCACAAGCCAGCCACTGACTGAGGGAGTGAACGAGCTGGTTTACTTTGCCCTTACGCCGACGCCGGAGCCTCGAGCTTATCGATGAGGTAAGCAACGATAAAGTCGTTGTCCGAGAGCCCGTTGGTAGTGTGGGTCCACATCTCGATGGTGACGTTGTGGTAGCCAACCAGATGAAGGTCCGGATGATGGCCCTGCTCCTCGGCGATGACAGCCACGCGCTGGAAAAACTCAAGTCCCTACCCCCCCCCCCCCCCCCCCCCAAGTACCATTATCACGCAGTACCTTGTAAGTCCCCCACAGTGCCGTCTTCGTCGCAACCGATAAAAAAAACCATGCCCCCCCCCCCCCCCCTCCCCCCTCCACCGTTCCCCGCTGGCCACCGCCACCTGGCCGACACCCGGCGACCGCGACGGGCGGGCGCGACCAGCAGCTTTGCGGCGGGGCTGTAGAGAGCATGGTAGACAAAGGAAGACAACCAATGCAAAAAGTAGAGATACAAGAGCATGTACTACCACCATGTGCATGTAGTGGACCGAATACAACTATATGTCGGGCATGCGTACAGTCATAAAGTCCTTGACCTTCCACTCGCGGCGGATCCGGTTCGAGCCATCGACGTCGACAACCTTCCAGCCATCATCCAGCTGGCCAAGCATGGCCTCAATCTGCTCGGCAGTCAGTCCTGGCGCTGCGCCAAACTCGTAGCACTTGCGTCCCTCGAGGCTCTCCACAGACATTGGTTGATGCGGCGATGAGTGTGTGGCTCGACGAGGTGTTGTCAGACGCAGCCGTGATGACCATGATGACCACGATGACCATGATGACCATGGTCTTGATGACTGTGATGTGATTGATCGGGCAATGGCGGCAGAAGGTAGTGTGGCGAGTGTGCGGAACATGGTGTGAGAGAGATACGTGTGCGGGTAGGCGGCTGGTCGAGATCAGGTCGAGATGGGGGGAGGAGGGATGGAGAGGTGGGGGAGCAATCACCAGAACCATGTAACTGGGCTTTGCTCAACCCGCGAGACGGCGCCATCTGCACAACCCGCGAGACGATGCCATCAATCTGCGAATGCGGTGCCGGTGCCTGTGACGGTGATGCGGTATGGTTCGATGCGGTATGGTTCGATGCGGTATGGTTCGATGCGGTATGGAGCGATGCGGTATGGCACGATGCGGTATGGCACGATGCGGTATGGTTCGATGCGGTATGGTTCGATGCGGTATGGTTCGATGCGGCATGGTTCGATGCGGTATGGTTCGATGTAGAATGGCACGATGTGGTACGGTACGGTACGGTGCGATGCGGTATGATGGCCCACGGCAGCCAGCCAACGTCAACCTCCCATGCCCTCAACCTGCGAGACGATGCCATCAATCTGGGAATGTGATGATGATCAGGTCAAGCCGAAAGCGGCGAGGATGAGTTGTGACGGTGACGGGGACAGGGACAGGGATAGGCACACGACTTTGTGACGGAGAGTGGTGGAAAGTATGAGAGGAAGAGAATGTGTGAGTGATGCATGTCTTCTCTGTGGACTGTTCTTTGGAGGAGGATTGGTCTTTGCTGGTGTGGAGGGTTGGAGTCTGGACACGGGACTGTACTTCGCGTATGCTACCATGACCACTACGGGCTTTGGCGATGTCGTCGTCACCAGTACTCTGGGCAAGATCTTGGTCATTCCATATATATTGGCTTCCATCTTGGCGGTTGGTTACTCGTTGCGTATCTCAGACTCTTCCGTGAGATCTTCATTGCTCTCGGTGAGGACCGGTGTCGTGGCGAGACCAACTCCTCGTCCGCCCTCCACGCTATGGACCTCTCTCGTGCCGGAGAGATTGGCTCTGGCTTGGGACCGTGCTTCGTTGGAGACAAAGAAGCTTGTCATCAATGGCTTGTACTTTATGGTCTACTGGCTGGTCGGATCGTTGGTCTTTGGCCTCATCGAGGGCTGGCCGCTGACCCACTCGCTCTTCTTCACCCTCACCACCCTCTGTGCCATCGGCTATGGCACCATCGCTGTCGCTACCCCATGGGCGCGCATGCTCTTGGTAGTCTATGGCTTTGCTGGCCTCGCTCTGCTCTCCTTTACCCTCGCCGCAGGCCAACGAGTCCTCTCGCGCTCGCTCAAGGCTCGCTTTGTTTCGTCGCCGCTCGCCGACGCCGCCACTGCCGATGAATCGCGCTCGCAGTTCCAGCTCCGCCACTTGCGGCGAGCCCTGGCCATTTTCTTCGGCACCTACGTCACTGCTGTCGTCTTCTTCTGCATAGTCGAGCGGTGGTCGATCCTCGATTCGATGTTCTTCTGTGCAGAGACGGTGACCACGCTCGGCTACGGCGACCTTGCGCCGTCGGCCCCTGCCTCCGAGTTTATCTCGCTCGCCTTTGTCTCTATCTCGATGCTCATGGTCGGCTACGTGCTCTCGCTCATCGGCGCCGTCGCCGCTATCCGCTCCACCGCCGCCGCTTTTCGGCCCGCGACGCCATGCTCGGCCTCTCGCCGCGCGGCGAGCCGCCCACCGCTGTCCTCGACCCAGCCCCACTTGGCCCGGTCTCATGGCCGTCGTCGGCTGACATCTCGCCCGAGTCGGAGCCTGAGCCTGCCGAGCGCGAGCTCGACTTTTCCGTCGTCCGAGGCCGGGTCGTCGACGAGCTCGACTCGGCAGACTCGAGCATGGAGGCGCTCGACGGCTTGCCGTTTGCGAGTGACGATGGCAGCGACGCCGCTGCTGCGCCGCTCACTGCGCTCGTCGCCGCTGCTGCGCCGCGCTCGCCGTCGCGCAGACCCTCGGTCTTCTTCCGCAACATCCTCTCGCCGCTCTCGTCCTCGCTCAACGTCTTCCCCACATCGGCGTTTGTCCAGTCGGCGCTCGCGCCGGACCAGCACAACTGGGTCCGCGAGTTCCAGATCACCGGCACTGTGGCCGCCTTTATGTACATCACCCTCGCGGTGGCGCTCATGTGGATCGAGGGCTTCTCCTGGGTCAATGCCTTCTACCTCGCCGCAGTCACCCTCTCGCTCGTCGGCTACGGCGACCTCGTTCCACGCACCGAGCTCGGCCGCGGCATCACCATCATCTTTGCGCTCGCCTCGCTTGGCCTCATGTCCTACTCGCTCACCCTCATTCAGGAGGTCTCGGCCAACACCGTCCGCGAGCGGTTTATTGCCGAGCACGAGGAGAGCCTGCGGAGCCGGACTGTCACTCCCGCGCCGCTGGAGCCGTACGCATTGGAAGACTCGGTGGAGAGCGCCGGCGTTTAGTGCTTTTAGCTATCGTCGAGAGCCTGCTGGAGAAGCGCGCCCAGCTTGATTCGCTTCTTCTTCTCCTTGTCATACGCCTTGAGCAAGACCCGCATCTCGTGCTCGGTCTTGGTCACCGCTTCGCGGGCGCACGCTGCGTCGGCTGCAGCGTCGGCGGCCGCCGCCTGCGCGGCCTCCAGCTCAGCCTGTACTTCTGCGGCGGCGGCGTCTGCGGCTTCGGCAGCAGCTGCATCGCCAGCGGCTCTGGCCGCCGCCACCTGCTCGTCCATTGACGCCTTGAGCTTGGCCACCTCGTCCTCGACGTAGCGGAGCGCACGCTCGAGGCGCGCAACCTCGGCCTGGGCCTCGTCGCGCTCGGCAGCAAGGCGGCGGGCTTCGCGGCGGCGTCGCTTGCCTCGCCCTCAAGCGCCTCAGCCGCCGCCGCCGCGCTCGTGGCCTCGGCAAGCTTGGCCTTGAGCCCACGGAGGCTCTCCAGCTGGTCGTTGAGCATCTTGTCCTTGATGGCGAGCGCGTCAGCCGAGGCTTCAGCCCGCTCTTTGTAAAACTTTGTCTCGCCGCGGAGCTGGGCCTCGGCGCTTTGCAGCTGGGCGTGGTTGGCCTGCAGCGCCTCGAGCGTCGCCTGGCTCTCCTCCACTCTCCGCGCCAGCCGCGCGTTCTCGGCCGTCAACCGCGCATACAGGGCGTCGTCGGCAGGCTTGATCACTTGTTGCGGCGGGAGCGGCGGGAGCGGAGGCGGAGGAGGCGGAGGCGGCGGAGGCGGGGGCTGCTGCTGCTGCTGCTGCTGCTGCTGGCGATCAGCCTCGGTCCGTGCTGCTGCTGCCGCAACAGCGGCGCCAAAGTGGGCGTCGAGCATGCCGGTCATTTTCTCCTGCGCAGCGAGATGCTCACGCAAGAGTGCGACGGTGGCTCCAAGCTCGGCACGTTCGCGCTCTGTTGCGTGATGGCTGCTGACAAGCGCAGCATGCTTGGACTTGAGCGCCGCAAGGCGCGAGTCGACCGCGTCGGCCCGCGACGACGCACGGACCTCCTTCTCCAGCGACTTTTGAGGAGTACCTTGAGCTTGGCTGCTCCTGCCGAGCTCTCACGGAAGGCAGCCTTGAGAGCGGCAATCTGGTCTTCGGCAGTGGCGGCAGCAGCCTTGAGGGCGGAGATTTGGGCCTCGGCGTTGGCGGCGGCAGCGCGTGCGGCAGCGACTTCAGCTTCAGCGTCGGCAAGCCGAGTCTCGGCGGCTTGCCGCGCTGCGTCGTGGTCAGCGGTGCGGGCGCGGCCGCGCTTGACCGATGCTGCCGCCTTACGGAGCTCGTCCTTCAACTGCGCCGCGAGCGCAGTCTGTGCTTCTGCTCGGTCATTGGCCGCCGCGAGCGCAGCCTTGAGCTCGGTAGCCGAGGCCTCGGCTGCGGTAGCGCGGGCTTCCGCTGCCGCGGCGCGTGTGTTAGCATCGTCGACGCGCGCGGCAGTGGCGGCTTTGGCCTCGCGTTGGCTCACTGTGTGCTCGCGCAAGGCGGCGTCGGCATCGGCTGCCGCGCGCTCAAGCTCGCCGACCCGGGCCACCAACTGTGTGACCTGAGCCTCAGCAGCCAGCGCCCGCGATGTTTCGCTGTCAAGCGCAGTCTGGAGTGAGGTGAGTGCCGACGGCGAGAGGAGATTCGCCTGGACCTCCTGCGTATGCAGTGCAGGAGGCGGCGTCGGCGTCCGCGGCGTGGTGGCGGCGTCGATCATCGCCGGTGGTGGTGACGGCGTTGGTGTCTGTGGCGAGGCCGGCCGGGCGAGAGCTGCTTCGAGAACGGCGACACGATTGGCCAGCTCGTCGTCGCCTGGACTGGACGCCAGCGGTGACGGCGAGCGCGAGACCGGCTCGGGCACAGAGACTGGCGAAGGGGGAGCCCTGCCATTGCGGCGGCGACGGCCGAGCGGCGCGCGCGCAGCAGTCCGGGCCGCTGCAGCCCGGTTGACCTTGCGAGGCCGGCGCTGCAGCGCTGAATCAATGGCTGGCGTGGGGAGCTTGAACGGCGACGGCAACGGCGAGAGGAGGTCTGGGCTCGCAACTGGCGCCGGCGCCGGGGTTGGCGAGAGCCGACGGCGAGCGCCAGGAGTAGTCGGGCGCGGGGCCTGGGTAGTGGCAACTGGCGACGAGATACGCCGGGCCGGCGAGGCAGCCGGCGGCGACCGGCGCGACACCGTCGCGGCGTGGGCGAGGTCGGCAATGACGCCGGTGTCGACAAAGCTAGCGTCGCGGCCAGCAGCGTCAAAGCCGTCGAGCGCAATGAGCGCTGGAACAATGGCAAACGCAGTGGCGCGATAGCGGGCGACGGAACAGACCGGGTTGGCGCGATCGCCGCGCGCCAGCGCGAGCGAGTGAAGCGAGTGCAGGTGTGCCAGTGGTGTGAGCGCCGTCACATCAGCAAGGTCATTGCCCACCAAGTCGAGTGCAACTAGCGCCTCAAGGTGCTCCACACCCTCGACGTCACGAATGCAGTTGTACGAAGCCACCAGCCGGCGGAGCGCAGGTACGTTGGCCAGCGCGCCGCCGAGGTGGCTCAGCTCGTTGGCCGCCACATCCAAGCTCTGAAGAGCCGGCAGCCGCGGGAGACCATCCAGTGACGCCAGCCGGTTCGACGACAAGTTGAGCTCGACGAGGTTAACCAGGCCGTCGAGATTCTGAGATGTGTGCCGAGGGGAGGTATTTGTGAGGTGAAAAAAAAGGTCGCAGACGAGGGTTATGCCGGGAAAGATGATCCGTGTTTGCGGCATTGGTTGGAGTTGATATCGTAATCAGTGAGTCAAGAGATGAGCTTCAAGCATACAGTGACGTCATTATGGCTGCAGTGATGGTGTGCGTATGAAAGAGCGGCCAAGAGGGCATACCCGTTGCTAGGGGAGGATGTCTCAGGGGAAAAAGGTCGTGGTTGATGACGCCGGGGACGTTGCGGCCGCCAGTGAGGGGGGGGGGGGGGGTGAGGGGGGAACAAGACAACGTACCTCGATGCGAGTGATGGCATTCGAATGAAGATTGAGCGAGACAAGTGATACATGGGCCGAGAGGCCTGCAATGTCTCTCATAGAAGCAAGTGAGGCATGGACAAGCGAGAGACGGTCGTCATCGCCGACTGCCTTCCCGCCACCTCGGCCCACCCGTCGGCTGGCAGCAACCAGCATGTCCGGGAGGGAGAGCGGTGGGGATGTAGTCACCGTCAAGCAAGGTACAAGCAAAGTGGTGAACCTATATAACCTCACTACAGTGCTTGACTTTGGCTGTGGTGGCCTGGTGTGGGTGGTGTGGGTGGTGCTAGCGGTGGGTGGGTTGGAGTGGCGTGGAGTGGTGCCGTTTTGGCGCGCGCGCCGACCGACGACGGCCGGCGACGGATGGCTCCGGCCCTCTCACAGAAGCACATCTTTAGCTGATCATCGATTATTGTGGGCCGAGCCGTTTGGTTCGGTGGGACTGGGGATGGGGGATGGGGCTGTGATTGATCATGGGAGGGGGGTGAACGGGGGCGGGGAGGGGGGGGGTGGTTGATGGTGTGAGGTCGGCTCGGTTGGGCGGAGATTGGGCGAATGGGCTGTGTCTGCCGATCAGGACTACATACACACCTTGATTGGATGATCCATGCCCAACCGTCACCACAATCATATATCACACCTCATGTCATGCCATGATCATGGTTCTCCAGCTGGTGAGCGAGGTGGAAATGGCTCTACCACCACCATCAAGAGGAACAGATCTTCGCCGTCACCGCTACTACCCACAGGATACGAGGTCTGTGTCCTTGATACTTTGGCAATCTCGATGCATAGCATGCTTGACTCGACCTTTGGCTACAATCCTTGCTGCTCGATCATGTTTCTGCATCCCCCCGATCCCCCGAGGGATAGAGGATGGTGGGGTTGAGCGGGTGTGGCCAGGCCGACCAACTCGAGCATAGCGGCGACGGTGACGGGGACAAGCACCACTCGACTCGGCACGACACGACAAGGGACGAGACAAGGAGAGCAGGTAGAGCCAAGACGAGGTAGAGTGGACGAGGACAACGTCTGCCTGGAGGAGTATGACCAGTCGAGGAGAAGGCGAGGACGGAGCTGGGCCGAACTTGGAAGCGGGAACGGTGGAAACGATGACGACGGGTCAGACGATGACGACGGATATGGTGACAGCTGGCCCAGAGGCTAGCATGCTTGTGGCAGATGAAGAGCTCAAGTCTTTGGATGTGGATACTCTGGCCAGGTTGCTGGCTCAGGAAGAGAAGGAGGTGGAGGCCATCGAGGGTGACATCAAGCGGCTGAATGCACAGAAGCGGATTCCGCTGGCCACGGGCAAGAACAAGGGTACGATGGCAATGATGGCATATGGTTGTGGATGGGTGTGTGTATGTGGGGAAAGGGGAAGACTTACAGAGGGTGTGTGTGACGGGGCGTAGTCGAGTTTCTTAAGTCGTCATTTGATGAGATCGATTGGGAGAGCTTTGAGGCACCGGAGCACTGCGTGCCGATCCGAGCGGATGTGCGGCTGTTTGATTGGGCTGCGCTGGGCGCACAGGTTCAGTTTGATGTCATTGTCATGGACCCGCCGTGGCAGCTGGCGACATCGGCGCCGACGCGCGGGGTGGCGCTCGGCTACTCGCAGCTCCGCGACGAGGACATTATGCGGATTCCGGTGCCGAAGCTGCAGGAGAACGGCCTGCTCTTCATCTGGGTCATCAACGCGCGCTACTCGTTTGCCTTTCAGCTGTTCAAAGAGTGGGGCTACGAGTACGTCGACGACGTGGTTTGGGTCAAGCGGACAGTCAACCGGCGGATGGCCAAGGGCCACGGGTACTACCTGCAGCACGCCAAGGAGACGTGCCTCGTCGGCCGCAAGGGCGCCGATCCACCGACCCTGCAGTCGGGCGTCGTCTCGGACGTCATCTGGTCCGAGCGCCGCGGCCAGTCGCAAAAGCCCGAGGAGATGTACGAGATGGTCGAGAAACTCGTCCCGAACGGTCGCTACCTGGAGATCTTTGGCCGCAAGAACAACTTGCGCGATTATTGGGTGACTGTCGGCAACGAGATTTAGCCCTTGCTGTAGTGGTCCGTATCGACAGTTGCGAATGCCTTCAATCGTCCGCGTGTTCGTCACGTGGGCGGGCGTGTCTCTTGTAGCAGCCCTACCGTAAAGGATTAAACTGATCCGAGCCAAGAGTGCGAGCGCGCGTTGGGGTTGGGCGGCGCTACTGGCGGAACGCCTTTCGCTCGGCGGCTGAGCTCGCGTGGGCAGGCTCGATGGGCGGCTGGACCGGGTCAAGCGGGACGTAAGGTGTGGCGTCGTTGCCGGGGCCAAAGTCGAGCGGGTACGAGACGTCCGAGTCGAGGCCCGAGAGGTCGCCGCAAGAGAGGAAAGGGACGACGATGCGGTTCGGCCCATCGAGCGGGTTGTCCTCGCCATACGGGGCATCCAGCAGCGGATCCATCATGGTCGGGACGTAGTTGGCCGGCGGCGTGTAGCCCTGGCACACCACAAACGACTCAATCGACGAGTTGCGCGACGACTTGGGCTTGGCAATGGTGACGACCGGAAAGAACACCTTGAGCTGCGAGTACAGCAGCGTTGTGTCCTTGCCGCGGAAGATCTTGGCGCAGAAGGTGCCACCCGGGCGCAGCAGGTGTGTAGTGATGTTGAGGGCCGCCAGAAGAAGCTGCGCCTGCAGGTACTCGTCGACGTCATGAAGGCCGGTCACGTCCGGCGCGCCGTCTGAGAGCACCACGTCGGCCTTCTCACCCTCAAAGTGACCCAGAATCTGCTGCACAGTCGTGAGCTTGGTAATGTCGCCCTTGAGTTGGGTCACACCCGGTAGCGGCGCCATGTCCTGCAAGTCCACCGCCACAATCTTGGCCGGCTCGCCGCCAGCCGAGGCAGCAGCGCCTGCGGCGACATCGGCGTCAGCCGATGACTCTGCCGGTTCGCGACGGAGCACGTTGGTCTCCGACGACGAGAGCGGGAGGCCCGAGACGAGCTTGTGTGAGAGGACCTGCGACCATGAGCCCGGCGCAGCACAGAGATCAACCACGCGCTTGGCGTCATGGAGAAAGCCAAACTGCTCATCGAGCTGAATGAGCTTGAACGCCGACCGAGCTCGCCAGCCCTCGTACTTGGCCTTGCGGTAGTAGATGTCCCTCTTGTCACGCGACGCCTTGCCCATACCTCGCCAACCGTTCTTGCTACCCTCCACTCGCTCAAGAGTTGGGTGTGTGAGAAGACTGAAGGGCAGAGCTTGCAGCCTGGCGTCTGGCGTCCGGCTCGGCTCGAGGAGCCGGGATGGCCGTCTGGCGGCTGCGGCTGGCCACGGCTGGCCGCCCGCCTCGGTTTGGCCACGGCGCAAATTTGTTCGTGGGCTGTTTCAGGAGAAAAGCTACATCCGTGGAGCTGCAGCAGCTTCGCTGGCCTAGGCCCAGTCATGGCAGCCGGGTCGGAAGAGGTGATTGTGTGTGGGAGAGGGTGCGGATGAAGAGAAGAACGAGGGATGCCTGGAGTTGCTCTCTTTTGCACTTTGGGTGGGCGGGGGGCTAGCCGAGGTGCACTGTTTCGATTTTTGAGTTCGGTAAAGCTGCTGACCTTTGTCGCCCCCTTTCCAAGCAAGAGCCCGAGCCACACACCCCTCTCAAACTCTTTGTGAAACAGCTAGGTACGACGAAACAGCCCGACTGATATGTATGATGCATGTCTGGCTTCTGCTGGTTGCAGCTTGCCCTAGCCCCAACCCTCCCCCCGGGAGGATCCGCACGGCACGCGGCGTTTGCGGCTACATCCCATTTTCCCGCTCGGCAATTTCCTTCCTCCCTCTCTCACGCGTGCGTGCAAGGTCAGTGATGAACGTGACTGCTGTTTTTCTCGTGATGGCGCTGCTTGCGGTAGCGAGCTCTGCGCGGTACGTGCCATCCGAGCTGCCCGAGCAGGCGGCCAAGATGTGTTCGAACGCCGGCGACTCTGGGATCGAGCGAGATTGCCGGGTCAAGGCAACGCTCCTTGTAGAGTCGCAGCTGCTCGGCAACTGTTGGAACGCCACATCCGAGTGCGGATGTGGATACTACGCGTGGGCCACCTGTGGCAAGGCTATCGCGCTTTGCGCGGCTGAGTGCATCGGGACTTGGGGCATGGCGTGCCTGACCTGCCTTGGGGCTGTCAGCGGCTGCCAGGACTGTGCTTGCTACTACTGCTGCGAGTACGAGGGTCCTGGGACGGCGTGCTACGACATCTGTCCCTCGGCGTACCTGAACTGCACTGACGGTAGCAGCTCATCGGGCGGCTTTGGTCCGTAGCCGTATGCCACTGTGTGCTAAACTGCGTTTTGCTCCGATGTCAGAGCTCTGTATGGATAAGTGTGATTGCAGCCGCGGCCAAAGAAGACCAAGCCACGCGTGTCTTTGACAACTGCTTGTGGTCATCGTCTGGACTAGACTCGTTCTTGATCCGGCGTGGTAGCCGGCCGTGGGCCGGGTGGCACACCGGCCCGGTTCCGGCCTGCAGCCAGCGGCGTCGGGCGACCGACCACGAACCGGCCGGAAAGCAACACTCTCAGTTGCCGACCGGGCGGTCGCCTCGCTGGCTGAACGGCTTGAGTTTTCCTCGCACTTACTGTGCTGACCACCTTTGTCAGCACATCGTGCCCATTGATGGCACGGTGATCCGCGTGTACATGAGCACCGTTCGATGGCTCGCGTACACACGAAATCAAAGAAAGGATTGGTCGCCCAGAGGGCGCGCGTCGTCTTTGTCGCACATGGTCATCAAAGAGGGTGAACGGGTGGGCTCCCGAGCCGACTGTGTCGACGTCATCGGAGCTCTTAGCAAAGTATGGTGTCAGCCGCTTCGCTTCGCTCAGGCTGCCGAGAGAGTGAGCGACTGGCAGCGGTCGCGCAGTAATGGCAGCAACACTCGTCTGTCAGATCGAATGAGGTGGACGGGAGTTGTTGCCGCAGTGGCACTGTTGGCACTGGCCAGCATGACGACTGGTAGCCTTGTGCACAAGACTGCCGTGCGCACGATTGATGTTTCCACCTCTGTTGTGCGTATGACACAAGAGGTAGAGATTACGAACACTGGTTCTTCCTCTGTCTCCACCTACGCAATGGCTATCCCTGCCGGTCACGCTCCCTTCCTCGCCTTTGTGGATGCCTTTACCCCAAACGATGACGTCCTGCCCGTCACTACCTCGACTTCCACTCCTTCCGACGCTCCTACGTACGTACTTCTTTCTTCTCCACACACATCATTCGATAGCTCTTGCTCTTACCTACATTCTCATCCCATTTCCAGCCTGATACTCTCTCTCCTCCGCCCGCTATCCCCAATTCCCTTCCCTCTCGCCACGCACCTGGTCCACCGCCTTGCCATTTTTTTGCCTCTCCTCGCCCCCCTTCCTCCCCACCCACACACCGCATGCCTGCTACCTCCCCACCCCCACTCATCCTCCCTATCTCTCCCACTTCTTCTCTCTCTCCTCGTTCTTTCCCCGCTCTCACCACTTTCCGCCACTGCCCTCACCCGCTCGTCACCGCTCCCCGCTCCCTGCCTCCCTCCGCCAACCTCTCCCCCCCTTACCATGCGCATAGTGGAACCAAGATGTTTGAGGTCGCGCTCGAGGCTCCGCTGGGCAAGGGCAAGTCTGTCAAGCTCACTGTTGTGGCTGTCTTTGTGGGTGCACTCAAGCCGTTCCCCAAGGAGATCGCCCAGGCCGAGCGGCAGTTTATGCTCTACTTTGGCAACCACTACGTGTACTCGCCGTATGTGACCAAGAAGCAGCGGACGGTGGTCAAGCTCGCCTCGTCGAACGTTGTCTCGCACACGACACAGGAGCCGACCTCGCTCTCGGGCGCGTCGCTGACGTACGGGCCGTACGCGGACGTGGCGCCGTTTACCGTCTCGGAGATGAAGGTCCACTACGAGAACAACGCACCGTTTGTCACCGCCACCTCGATGGTTAAGGAGTTTGAGGTCTCTCACTGGGGCGGCAACCTCGCCGTGGAGGAGTCGTACAAGCTGGAGCACACCGGCGCCAAGCTCAAGGGCTCGTTCTCCCGCTACGACTACCAGCGCAACCCGGCTGCCGCTGGCATCGCCTCGGTCCGCTCGGTCACCGCCATCCTCCCCGCCGACGCCGCCGACGTCTACTACCGCGACGTCATCGGCAACATCTCGACGTCTGCGCTCCGCTCACTCCGCGAGCAGGTTGAGGTCGAGATGCGCCCGCGCTTCCCGCTCTTTGGCGGGTGGAAGACCGAGTTCTACATGGGCTACAACCTCCCGCTCGCCGCCTACCTCCGCGTCGCCGCCGACTCGGGCCGCTACATCCTCACCGTCGACATGGCTGGCGCCTTTGAGAACGTGCCTGTCACCGACGCCATCATCCGCCTGGTCCTCCCCGAGGGAGCCTCTGACGTCGCCGTCCACACCCCGTTTGCGGTCGAGCCCGAGCTCTCCATCTCGTCGCGCAAGACGTACCTCGACACCTCGGGCCGCGTTGTTGCCGAGTTCTCGGCCGCCAACCTCGTCACCGACCAGGACCTTGTCTTCCAGGTCTCGTACGCCCTCTCGGCCACGGCCATCCTGATGGAGCCCATCCTCCTCATGTCCGCCTTGTTTGCACTCTTCCTCGCCGCCATGGTCTACGTCCGCCTTGACCTCTCGCTCTCGCCGTCGTTGGGCGGCATCGCGTCCGAGACCTCCACCTTTGTCGCAGACATTGCCCGTGCCACCTCGGCCCTCGCCAAGCTCGACAACGCGCTCGCCGCATGGGCCCACTCGTCCGACTCGAAGACCTTTGCTGCCGCCAAGAAGAACCTCGACCGCGAGTTTCGAACGCCCTCCGCCGGGCCTCGGACATTGCCTCCCACGCCACCGGTGCCACTGCCGCTCACCTCTCGGCAGTCATCGCCAAGCTCGAGGCCCGCCGCAAGCTCTTCACCAAGCTCGACACGGCCCAGGCCGAGTTCTTCTCCTCGACCATCTCGGCCGATGCTCTCGCCTCGCGCTCCACCGAGCTCTCCACAGAGTACTTTGGCCTCGCCACCCAGATCGAGCAGGCTCTCGACGCTCTTCATTGAACCATGGCCTATCCCATCCGCGGCTGCCGCGCCGCAGCCTTGGCGTACGCCGGCGAGAGCATGACTCTCACCGCCGACGCTACCGTCGACCGCGGCACCGCCGCGAGCGCGGCATCCAGTGGGTCCTGCAGCCCGTCCACATACCCAGACCCGCGCGCCTCGCCGAGCATGACAAACGCTGCAGCAAGGGCGAGGAGCTTGAGCTCGGTGTTCGACGAGCCGCAGCCAAAGTTGTCTACCCGCGACGCGAGAAACCGCAGCGTCGTGCCCAGAGACTTGGCAAAGGCCTCACCTGCCGCATCCGTCGCTGCGGCTTCGTCCCCGTCGCGCCCGACCTGCGCCACATACCGCACTCCCATCAGGTACGGATGCGCCGCTGGCTTGGAGCTGCAGCTCGCGGCGGGGACCTGGACCGACGCGGCCGCGCCCTCGGCCTCGTCCACAGCCGCCAGGCACCTGTCCGCCAGCGCCCGCGAGTCCGCGCCAGAGTTTGTCACCGCCGCTGCAAAAGGCGCGCAGCTCACCATCGCCGCCAGGGCGCTCACAGACGCCTCGTTCCACTCGGCGCACATTGAGAGGTCCAGTGAGCAGAGTCCAATGAGCGAGGCGTAGACCTTGATCGCTCCCTCGGCGCCCGGGCACTTGAACCGCGCCAACTCGCGGGCAAGGAGTGTGACCATGGCCACGTCGGTTGCGGCGTGGACCCGCGAGAACGCCAGCGCAAGCATCGAGTGTGCCTTGGCGCGCGGATGGTCCCAGGCCCCACCGCTCCGTGAGACGGCAGCCATGGCTGTGAGCAGGGCCACAAACGTGAGGTCCGCCGTCGGCCCGTCGGCAGCGTCGGCGTTGAGCAGTCCAGCCTGAATGGCTGTTGTCCGGGCCAGAATCGCGTGCATCCGCGCACGCGCGCTGTGCCCGTCAAGCGAAAGAAACGCGAGCATGGCATGACAGAGCACAGCCTCGGCAGAGCTGACAGACATCATCGCCCCGTATCGATCAAGCACTTGCGCAGTGAGCACCGCCACCGAGTTGGAGTCGCCCAGCACAAGCGCCGCGTGCGCCAGCGCCAGCCGGCCAAGCACCGCACCCACAACAGAAACGCCCGGTCCCGGAGGGCCATCGGCAAGCATCTGGCACATGTCTGGGAGCAGCGGCCGGAGCGCCGCAACCACAGGCTGGCGCGAAGGAAGCACTTCAAAGATCTTAAGATAGTCGAGAGGCGCCAGCCAGGCCGGGAGCGACGACTCAACGCTCACCACACTTCCGAGTGCAGAGCCGAGCGACCGCGCCCGCTTGCCGGTCTCGACCAGAGCGCGTGACGCTCTGCTGCTGTCATCGCCGTCTTCGCCGGCGTCATACTTGCGCTTCCGCTTGCTATCCAGAATGGCCGCCAGCGGCTTGGGCTTCTGTCCACGCCGCCGCGGCACATACTCCCATGTGCAGTCCACCTCGAGCCGGATGCAGCGCTCACACACGCCGCGCTCTCCCTTTCCGGAGCACTTGCGCTTGCCAAGCCGGCATCGATCGCACGCGCTCGACGCGACCTTGCCCTTGGAGGCTCCAGAAGACGATGTCGACGACGCCGATGTCGATGACGACGATGAGCTCGAGGTCGAGACAGTGGTAGTGGTCGAGGAGTCTAGCCCTGACGCGGATGCCTGGGACGAGCCACTCGATGGATACGACGGCGAGACGGAAGACTCTGCCGAGCGCGAGAGCGACGACGCCGGAGTGGATGAAGAGAAGGTGGGCGAGAGCAGAGGGAGTGGACCGGCAGCGAGCGACAACGACGGCGAGGTAGGCTCCGTGTCAAGCATAGGGAGACTAAACAATGTGCTCGGGTCATCGTTAGCAAGCATGGGAAGCCATGCCTCTGCCAAGTCAAAGTGCGGGGAATGGTGCGGGGCTGGCGGAGCGGCTTGATCAAGCCTGGCAGAGTGATCAAGATCAAGGCTGTGGTGGCGAGAAAGGTCGTCAAAACTCAGGACGCCAAGCTCATGACCTCCGCCCAACCCGGCGCCCAACACCCCGACTCCGTCAAGAGACTCGTCCAGCATGGTCTTCCATGTCTCGTCCATGATATCTTCTCCTGTTTCCGGAGAGAGGACGTCGCGTTGGCGTGCGTCAGATGCTGGACCGTCCCGCGTTGCCCCTACCTGTGTGTGGCCACTCGTGCACATGCCACGTATTGCCATTCTGATCGCGATCACGATCACGGTCGGCGCGGCGAGACAAAGACGTACGGCGACACCCCTCTCTCTCTCGCCGTCTCCCTCCCGCAATGGCCATGCAGACCATGGTCTGCCTCGTTGTGGCACTTGCGCTTGTTGTGGGTATCTCTGGAGCGCCATCACCTCGTGGCCCTGACAGGTTTGTGGTCTCCATGCGCATGTCGACAGGCGCTGCCTTGGTGGTGGCTGAGCGGGCGCGGGCACCGCTTGCAGCTGACCGCATGTACGCATTGGCCAAGGGCGGCGTGTTTGATGACTCGAGGTTCTTCCGTGTCATTCGGAACGATACCGCTGGTACGGCATTTGTGGCGCAATGGGGTACGCCTGGCAATCCCGAGGTGACGGCAAGGTGGCTGGCGGATGAACTGCCGAACGAAGTCGATGGCTCGGTGGCGTACTCGAACACTCGTGGCACCATTGCCTTTGGGGCAGAGTACTCGGAGGATCGAAGCTCGACTTGCTGTCGATCCATCGAGATGTACATCAACTATGCTGACAACTCGCGACTTGATGCCCTTGGCTTTACCGCCTTTGCCGTTGTCCAGCCGCCAGTGGCGAGCCAGGCTCAGCTCGATGCGCTACTCGCAGATGGGCCGGACACTACTCGGACGACGCTCGACATGGCCATGGCCCCGTTCGAGGCGCTGTATGCTGGATACGGCGAGAACTTTGATTGGGACGCCATGTACGCCAGCGGCAACGCGTATCTCGACGCCGAGCGGCCGCTGATGTCGCACCTGTTGAGCTTTGAGGTGGTGGCCGAGTCGTCGGCGCCAGGCAGCGGCGGAAAGACAACGACGATGGCGCCGGCGGAGCGGACAGCGTCGACGCTGACGCTAGTGGCGTTTGCGCTGGTCGGTGCCGGGGCGGTGGCGTGGGGCGGGTACAGCTATACTCGCAAGAAGCATGAGGAGGAGCGGACGGCAGCTATTGCGTCGGTACAGCTGGTGTGAAGGACGGCACTTTACCGAGGCGGCGAACCGAGTGGGACGTCGGCGTCAGACTCGATGTGAGCCGTCGAGTCGAGGAACGAAGCTGTCGAGGCAAAGTACTTGCCAGCGGCCGAGCCCATCTTGGACGACTCTAGCGAGTCGTCTTCGTAGCCAAAGGCGCCGCCGATCGACGACGAGAGCGCGGTGAGGTTGGAGCGGAACGAGATCTCGTCTGCGGTGAGCGGGCGGAGCGAGGCACGCGGCGCCGCACGAACTGGCGGCGACACGGTAGTGGCGGGCGGGGGCGCAGCTTGGGCCGCACGCAGCCGGTCGAGCTCTGCGCGGAGATGGCGGGCCTCGGCGTCAAGTGCGTCGTACTGCTCCTGCTCGGCCTCGAACAGAGCCTGCTGCTCGACGGCGGCCTGCATGAGCTCGCGGAGCTTGGCCTTGAGCTCCTTGTTAGTCGTCTTGTAGTAGTAGGTGTCCTTGTGGGCGGCGTCGAGCTTGGCGGCGGTGTCAGAGCGCGCGAGCGCCAGGGTGTCGTGTGCGGCGGCGAGCTGGGCGTGAGCCTCGTCGAGTTGGAGGTGGAGCGAGGGGAGCTCGACGCGGTCAAGGACGTAAACCTCCTCCTTAAGCTCGACAATCTTGAGAAAGTAGGTTTTGAGCAGGTTTGTGGCAGCGTCGAGCGAGGTGAGTGAGGCGAGCTTGGACAGCGTTGCCTCAAGGAAGGTGGCCGAGCCGGCGGCGTCGGACGCGCGCGACGCGTTGATCTCGTCCTGGGTCTCGGCGATGGACTCGTCGACAAAAGCAAGCTTGGCGTCGAGCTCGTCGAGCTCGTCCTCGAGCTCGGCCACAAGCACGGCCTCAGGGGTGACGCCCGCGGCGGCGTCGTCGAGCGCGGCTTCGAGCTGCGACTTCTCCAGCAGCAGCGAGTCGACCTGGCTGCCGAGGTAGGCAAGAGCCACGGCCTCGTTGTCGGCGGCGGCCTCGGCCTCGGCGGCGTCTTCGAGCTTGGACTCGACAGCGTCGAGCGAGCGCCGGAGGTTGAGCGACGACCGAAGCGCCTTGACCTGGGCCGACGCGTGCTGCGCGAGGAGCTGCTCGCGGCGCTCGAGGTCGGCCTCGCGCTCGGCGAGCGCAGCCTCCAGCTTGGTCAGCTTCCTCTGCTGGCCCACGACAGCATCGAGTTCGTCGTCGGTGACGATGACTTCCGGGACGTCGACTGGCGCGACGCTCTTGCGCGTCGGAACGGCCGGAGCGGCCGGCAGCGGGTCATGGGTCGACTCGGAGGCGACGGAGAGGGTTGACGCGTCGAGGGCCGGCGAGCGCGACTTTTTGCGGGCCGAGTGCAGCTGGTCCGACTTGATGCGGAGCATGCGGGCCTGAGTCTCGAGCTTGTTGGTCAGCGAGGCGACGGTCTGCTTCTCCTTGGAGAGCGCGGCGTCAAGCGAGGCAAGCGCAGTGGCGTGGTCCTTCCCCACGGCATGGAGCTCGCGCGAGAGCTCCTTGACCCTCCGGGTGAGCTTGACGTTCTTGGCCTTGAGCTTGAGAACGACCGGGTCATCGACAGCGGCTTCGAGCGGGAGCTCCGACTCGTCCAAGCCGGAGAGCATCATCGAGCGCGAGCCCGTGGTGTCGCCACCGGCGAGCTCGGCTGCAACGACGGCGAGTTCGTGGTCGCGGCGGTGGAGCATGTCTTCGAGCTCAGCGATGCGGGTGTGGAGGAGGCCGACGTTGTCTGCCGACGCCGACGCATGCGCGGCCGGTGGCGGTGCGATGGCCGAGTCGTCGTCGTCAAGCAGCGTGTCATCGATGACGAGCACGTTGTCGTTGGCATCCTCAATCCGTTGCGCAAACATGCGGGCCATGAGTGAGCCGTGGGCTGGGTGCGGGGCCGAGGCGAGCGGAGCGACGTCAGCGCCAACAGCCGGCGAGACGCCGAGTGCGGCGACGAGCTTGCGGTCGTCGCCCGATGGCGCGGGAGTGGTCTCGCGGGCTGCTGGGACCGTGAGGCCGGGGGCAGCGGAGCGGAGCGCGTCATTCTCGGCCTGAAGGGCGGCGAGCAGGTCATGGAGCTGACGAATCTCGGCAGTCTTAGCGGCAAATATCTCCTCGTCGCGAGCGAGATCCTCCTGGGCGTCTGCGAGCGCAGCATGGGCCTCCTCGAGCTCGTCCAGAACGTGAGCCGGCAGGACGCCGCCGTCCGAGCCGATCGGACGGGACGGCGCGCTGAGCGGGCGGTGGGCAGAGGCAGAGGTGGCCAAGTCCGAGGTCGAAGCGCTGCGGCGAGGGCCGGCCGAGGTGGTTGGCCGGGTGAAGAGCGTTGGGGTGGGGATCGGGGCGGCAAACGGCTTGACGTGGACAAGGACGTTGTCCTGGAGAAAGGCGCGAAGCTCGGCATCGAGGAGGCCGCGCTCTTGGAGGAGGGAGACAAAGGCGAGCCACTGCTCGCGCTCGTGATCAGCGGCGGCGAGGCGGTCGAGGAGCTCTGGCGCAACTGCGTCAGAGGCAGACAACGGAGCAGGAGGCGAGGGTGGCGGGCGCGAGACCGAGGCACGGAGGGCCATCGACGACGAAATGATGAGCGAGGAGGCAGCAGCGATCTGGTTGCGGTAGTACTCGTCCTTGACAAGGTCGGCGAGCGAGGCGGCCCGGTCCTCGAGGAGGGCACCGACAGTGACCTTGTTTCCGGTGTGGTCGCGGATGAGAGCGCGCTTGACGAGATTGAGCTGGAGCTGCTCGACTTCTGCGGAGAGGGCGCAGAGGTGGGATGAGCCCTGCTGGGCGTGCTTGCGGATGTGGTTGGTGATGGCGCGGGCACGCGAGGCGTACTTGAGGGTGTTGAGCGACTCGGCGTAGTTGACGTCTGCCGGCGAGATACATGCGAGCATGACGGTTCGCGACGAGCCACCGAGCGAGTCCTGGAGAACGCGGGTGAGCTTGGACGAGCGGTAGGGGACGTGGACCTGGGTCCGGGCGGAGGGCTGCGGATGGGAAGCTGAGGAGGCGAGGGCGGAGATGACATTTCCGAGGGCAAGGAGACCCTTGTTGATGGCCTTGGACTCGGCGAGACGCTTGCCGGACGCATGGGTCCGCTTGAGGCGCTCCGAGCCGGCGAGATCGACCAGGTTGAGCTTGGCGACCGTGTATGTGTCTGCGCCTGGAGCGTGGCGCTCGAGGGTGAGGGTGATGATGCAGTGGGAGCGGTTGGAGGCCGCGTTCATGTCGGTGGCGCCTGTGGAACGAGCGAGGGTGCCGGTGGCGATGGCGGCGGTGAGCTCGGCCGGGGTGGTCACGATCTGGTCGGTGGCGCCGACGACGGTGACGACGCCGTCTGCATCCTCGCGCACCTTGAGCGAGGTCTTCTTTCGGGCAGCCTTGGCCCGCATGCGGTCGAGAAAGGTGGCGCCGACAGCAGCGTGTAGCTCCGGGTTGAGCAGGTCGCGGATGGTCTCGTTGTAGATCTCGATGAAAGAGACGCGGAGGAGGAACTGGGCGCCGTCGACCGACTCGTCGGCCATGCGGGCAAAGATGGCGTCGATGACTCGCGGAATGATGCCACGAGTGGCATCCGATGCCGCCGAGGCGCCGGGCAGAGTGCCCATGGTGTACGACTTGCCCGAGGCAGTCTGGCCGTAGGCGAGAATGGACGAGTTGATGCCATCAAAGAGACCATCCAGCAGCGGCGCCACAGCAGCATCAAAGACTCGGGCCTGGTCGGTGGTCGGCGGGAGGACAGAATCAAAGTCAAAGTCCCTCGCCGCCTTGCCCGAGCCGAGGACAACAGCATGCGGCAGTCCCGCCGGAAGTTGGACGCATGGCTTGCAGCTCGCTAGCTTTTCCTTGGCGATGAGCGGTCGAATACGAAGAACAACCTTGACACGTTCAGCACCACCAGCACCAGCTGCGTCACCTCCTCCGCCTCCACCAGCTCGGCTACTTTCAGCTCGTTCCTCCCGCCTGGCTGTCTTGTCCGCCGGCTTGGCGCCAAAATCTTGGTTTTGGCGCCGACCTGACGGAGACGCAGTCGGCGGTGGGGTGGGCTTGGGCGGCCGCCCGTCAGAAGTAGTCTCATGGCCTGCACGGGAGGATGGCCGGCTGCGTCGTCGCCGCCGGGGTGGGTCCATGTTTGTCTGAAGTGGGATGGTGGTGACGGCTCACCAGGTGGCGGGGGCGGGGGGAGGGAGAGGGTGATCGTGATCGTGATCGTGATCGTGATCATGGTGGTGTTTGCGGTGGTGATCGTTGGGAAGAGGGACAAGAGATGGAGCTGGACATGGGGATGGGGATGGAGGTGATCGGGGATGGGGATGAGGATGGGGATGAGATGGAAGAGGGATGGATTCAATGGATGATCGGTCGATGTAGCTGCTTGTCATGCCTGTAGAGTATGGGTCGGTCGATCGGTCGGTCGGTCGGTCGGTCGGTCGGTCGGTCGGTCGGTCGGTCGGTCGGTCGTCGGTCGGTCGGTCGGTTCGGTCGCGAAGAGGGGCACACACGTCGACAGCCACTCAACGCCCGGACCGACTACGGTTGCGCAGTGGCGCGTGTTTGGAGAGCAGGGCGTTGATAAGGGGTGAGAGGAGGGAGGATATTAGAAGAGAGAGGCTGTGTGTGGAAATGAGGATGGATATGGAGTATGTGAGACAGTTGCTGCCAAAGCTGTGCTCGGGTCTGGTATGCTCGGCGAGCCGTGCAAGAGCAAACGGTGGTGGCCACGGGACAGCTGCCTCATCGTCTGCTGCAGCAGCGCCAGCATGGCCACCATCATCATCAACACCAACGACGACGACGACAACAACAACAACAGCAACAACAGCAACAACAACCACACCAGCATCATCATCGATGCGCTCAAGGGCCACAGGCGGCACAAGCGGCGCAGGACCAGTGGCAAGTGGAGAGCCGTCGTCACTACCATGCACGCCGCCATCAGCACGGGCTGTGTCTGACTGTATGGCTAACTTGTCATCCATGTTGAAGGAGGGAGAGCACTTGCTAGTCGACCCGGTGACGGTGTACTGTGGCCATTCGTTCTGTTCCGGTTGTGTCCAGCGTGATGCCTGGAAGCTGCCCGGTGGCGTGGATCCGTTTTGCCCGCGCTGCAACGAGCCGCTCTTCCAAATCAAAGATGAGCAAAAGAGATCTGTTATGGCGCGCAAGGACATTGTGCTGACGCAGACTCTCGAGCTGTTTCACAAGCTGCATGCGCTTGTGACTGGTGCTGACGCCAGTCCGGGCTCGGCCGAGGGCGCCCGCGCCGTGCCGAATGCAGAGGCCGCGGCACCGGGATCGCCTGCCACCAGCTCGGTCACGCCCAAACTGATGGCTGTCAAAGAGAAGCCAGCTGTCGCGTGTGTGCCGAGCATAGCTGACATGGGCTTGACCCGAATGCCGGCAAGCGGCAGCCCGGCGAGCGGGGCGACTGTCGGCCGCAAGCGGAAGCGAACCATCGACAAGCCAGCAGACGAGACTGATGATCGCCAGAGCCCGTATTCGGCATCTTCCGCAGCATATGAGGCATCGCCACGTATGCTGGTGCGGCAGCGGCGACGCAAGTTAGGTGCGGGCAGCGCGATCGGTATATCGGCCCCGCCACAAGCTCCACACAGCTTGCAGAGCTCGATGCCGGTCTCAGCGCGGCTGGTGGAGCTCATTCGGTCCGGCCAGGCCAGGGTCGGTGATGTGATCATGTACGGTAGCAAGAGGGCGAGCTTGCAGGCCAATGGGCATGTACTTGACGCCGAGAGCGGTCAGAGCAGGCGAGTCCGCGAGTGGTCGGCGGCGATGGCCGAGGCCAACAACGGCATGTCGCCGCGATCGCTGTGGTCAAAGTGTATTCTGCGCGGGCAGACGCTCGGGAAGTGGCTACAGCGGTGGCAGTCGCAACCGGTGCAGTCGCGGCGGACGCTGAACCTTGCGTCTGTCGACGATGAGCCACAGACCAATGGGCAGGTCCTCGACGCCGAGCCGCAGGCTGAGGAGCTGGTGGTCGTCTTTTCTGACTTCAAATCCAACGAATCCGTTGAAAATGCAAAGGCGATCGTCGAGATGCTCGGCGGTAAGGTCGAGAAGGAGGTGGAGCCCGAGCGGACGACGCACCTGGTGGTGGGTGGCGAGGAGGGATGGACCACGCAGAAGATGAAGGTTTTCTGTGCGCTGGCGATCAGAGTGCCGATTGTGAGCACCGGCTGGCTTGAAGCGTGCAGGGAAGAGGGCAAGGTTGTGGACGCATTGGAATATGTGGTCAAGATCAAGGCCGGAGACATATATATCTCGCCAATGGATCACATCAGTCGGCGGCAGCGCGGAGAGCGACCGCTGTTTGCCGACTGGGCGTTTTACGTCGGGCCGTGTGAGACTTGGGCCAGGCCGCGCACAGCGGATCGGTTGAAGCGGCTAGTCGAGTGTGGTGGCGGTGAGCTTCTGCCCAACTTTCCTGTGGCGAGCAAGTGGCAGCAACGCAAGGTGGCCATTGTTGTCGACGCTGAGAGTCAGCAGGTGATAGGCAAACCACCCCAAGGCACGCTTGTGGTCACGTCCCCGTTTATCATCGCGTCTGTTGTCGACGGGCCGGAAGTTGATCCCTCTGAGTACGCGATTGGAAGCGGCAACGAGTCTAGCGGTTAGCAATGGCCATGTCTGACGGCGGGGCCAGGGTCGGAGCGTCGTCATCGTCATCATCGTCCGAGTCGGAGAGCGACATGCCGGCGAGGGTCTGGTCGTCGTCGTTGTCGTCGTGACTGGCGGCATGCCCAGCCACAGAAGTGGCAGGCGCGACGAGGGCGCGGCGGGCGAGCGGCTTGCGGCGCGGCGAAGCGCTGAGCGGATCGGGTGAGGAGGCGACTTGCGGCGAGGCGAGGACGAGGGCCGGGTGCTCGGGGGCCAGGGTCGGGTCGTCGTCGATGTCGGCAAAGTCGTCCTGCGAGGCGAGGCGAAGCGAGGCGTGCGGCGGGAGCGAAGCTTCAAAGGCTGCGGGCGACATCTCGCGTGCCTGGGAAGTGCGTGTGATCTGGACGGCGCGCTGGAGATCGTCTGCGGAGAGCTCAAAGTCGGGCGAGGTCGATGACGCGGTGACCTTGTGTGGGAGCGGCATGAGGTCCTGTGTCAGCGAGGCGTCATCGTCGTCGTTGCCGCCGTAGAAGACGTCGGTGGCGGGTGGAACGTGAGCTTCGTGGGAGGCGAGACGGGCGGCGGCAGCAGACTCTTCAGCGTCGGCGTCGACAACGGCCTCGTCGTCGGAGAGATAGACGGGTGGCGGCGGAACGATCGAGGTGATGCGCGAGAACTCGACGTTCGAGTCGCCGTCTGCTGAGGCCGGCGAGTAGACGACAAACGAAAAGTCTGTGCCAAACGACGAGGGATTGAAGGCAATGGTCTCCTCGTACGCCGACTTGTACTGCTCGTACGAGTCTGCGAGGACGAGGACGTCAGGCAGCGGGTAGTTGGTGAGAGCGTGGGCGTGCGGCCAGTAGCGCGGGGCGGCGTGGAGCGGGAGCGGGAGGAGATGGGCCTGATCGACGAGGGTCTTGACAACGTGCTCGTGCATGAGGTTAGTCTCTGTGGTCGTCGGCTTGAGGACGCAGTGGCGGCGGAGCTTGTTAACCAGATCCTCGCGAAAGACGGTGATGACTTGCGAGTAGAGCCAGAGGCGGCACGGGTTGGTGGTAAAGGTCACACAGGACAGGTCGCTGAGCTTGCCGCGAACAACCGGTGGGAGCGGCGGGCGCGGGAGGACACGGCCGAGGCCCGGATCGTCGGCACCCGGCACAAAGACAAACTGTGACGAGGCGACGAGCGCCGGGAACTGAGCAATGAGCTCGGCGAGGGCGTCAAAGTAGTGACGGAGGACGTCGAGCGGCGACCGCTGCGGCGCGCCAGGCTTGTCGGACACGGTGCGGAGCGAGGCGTAGGGAACCGAGGTAAAGTTGCCGATAAAGACAAAGCCAGCCGGCTCAAGGTCGGCAAAGCCCTCAAAGAGAACACGGAGGCGGGCGTAGGTCTCCGGCTTGTCGAGCCACACATCCGAGAGCACGATGAGGTCGCTCGGGTCGTCGGCCTGGGCGGCGGCAACGCGGGCGGCGTCGGTGGCCGAGAGCGCTCCGCCGTAGGGGTCGACGGCCGAGCCGAGGGCAAGCATCGATGCCGGCGCCTTTTCCGGCGGCGGCATGGCGAGGTACTCGACGTCAAAGACCGAGTCGACCATGACGCCCTCGGCGAGGACAAAGGTGTTCTCGGTGAACATGCCCGAAGTCAGCTGGGCCGATGCCAGCGAAATGGTCACGGTCCCGACGAGGTCCTCCAGGCCGTACTCGCCTGACGGGAGGCGGACAAGCAAGCCGAGGACGCAGCAGCGCTCGCCCGAGGCGCGGAGCGAGTCGATCGCCGTGAGAGAAAAGTGCTGGCTCGGCGCGGCGGTCGACGACGCACGGTGGAGGAACGGCGGCATGAAGAGCTTGTTGCGGAGGACCCGCGAGTGGATGGACCGGTACTGGTTGCGGAAGATGTCTGCCTTGGCCTGCGGCGTGGTCATCACCTTGCTCGCATTGGCCGGCTCGACCTGCATTGTCTCGCGTGTCGCCGAGTACACCAGCCGGGGAAACTCGTACGCCGAGACGACCCTGAGCGGTGCCATGGCAGCTGCCGTCGTCACCACCGACGACGCCTGCATGCCCTCGACCACCTTTTCGATGATTTCGCGGTTGAGGACGCACGATCGGACTGTGCCGCGTGCGGAGGAGAGAAAGGGGGAGGGGGGGGGGGGGGGTGGAGTAGGGAGAGGGCGGGGGGATCAGGCGGGGCAGGGGGGATTCGGGGGACGAGCGTACGATCTTCTGTCTCCAGGCCGGAGATGACAGCATGGAGGGTCGACTTGACCTCATCGGGGGTGCAATCACAGAGCAGAGCCTCGAGAACGGAGAGGGCACCAACATCAGGCTGGAGACCACGGCGCTTAAAGGCGGCAACGATGGTCCGACCAAGACGACGGGAGCGCTTGGTGGCCGGACGACGACGAGCCGAGGCCATGGCGGAGCGAGCAGGATCTGAAGAAGGATCACGAGAGAGGGAAGACTCTCTCCCAAGCGAGGAGAACCTAAAGGTCGAGTCAGAAGCAATGTCCATAGTCTGTGACGAGAGGTTGGTCCTTGGCGAAGAGAGCGCAGATGGCGACCGACTGGTAGCTGCTCTCTCGTCGTCGTCGTCGTCAAAGGACGTAGAATCAACCGCCGGGGTCAGCTTGCCAGCCGAGGGCGAGGGCGAGTCCTGCGAGAAGAGCGAGAGGTGCGCCATGGTGGGGAGGCAGTCGTGGGGAGGGATGTGTGGGGGTTTGCGGTAGGGGGTGGTGGGGGGTGGCGGTGGCGGTTGTGGTCGTGGAGAGGGGTGGAATGTAGAGCGTAGGTAGCGGGCTTCGACGAGCGGGGGTGTCGTGATCGAGGGGAGGGGCGCGAGAGTGGGGGTGGGGGTGGTTGGAAAAAATTATGGAGAGAGTGGAGAGTGGGGAGGGGGAGCGGTTAGAGATGGATGGGCATGGATGGAGAGGGGAGACAGGGAGGGAAAGAAAGCGGTGTCGTTTGGAGGAAGTGGGAAGTGGGAGGGGGGAGGGTGGAGATGGAGGTTCTCTGGTTGTGACGTGCGCGGGAGAGTCTGTGTGTGTGGGGCGAGGTCCTCATTCACTGATCATGTTTTCTCGTCGTCGCACCACGTTTGCACATTCGAGGGGTTTACTCCGAGGCAGCCGCCGGGGCGTCGAGGGTCATATCGGCGGTCTCAAAGCCAGGCATGGGGAACTGAGTGGCGAGAGCCTCGACGTCAGCCTTGAGGGCAACGACGGCATCCGAAGATTGGATGGCGGCGACAAAGTCGACGAGCTTCTTGCCCGACTTGGCCTGGATGTCGAGGGCGATGGCGACGCCGCGGTCAAGGAAGCCAGCGATGGCCTCCATGTGGACCTCAGTCATGCCGCGCGAGGTGAGGGCGGGGGTGCCAAGGCGGATGCCGCCGGGGTTGACGGCAGACTTGTCACCGTAGATGGAATTCTTGTTGGTGGTGATGGAAGCGGCCTCGAAGAGCTTCTCGAGCTTGGAGCCGGTGAGGCCGTGCGGGCGGACGTCCCAGAGGACGAGATGGGTGTCTGTCCCGCCGGTGACGAGGGTGTGGCCGCGGGAAACGAGGGCGGCGCCAAGGGCAGAAGCGTTCTTCTGGACCTGGACGCCGTAGGCCTTGAACTCGTCCGAGGCGGCCTGCTTGAGAGCGGTGGCGACAGCGCCGATGGCGTTGTTGTGCGGGCCGCCCTGGAGGGCCGGGAACACGGCAAAGTTGATCTTGGCCTCGAGGCCGACCGAGCGCGGGTCGACTTCGAGCGAGCCATCGGCCAGGGTCCGCGGGCGCTTGCGGTAGAAGATGAGGGCAGCGCGCGGGCCACGGAGCGACTTGTGGGTTGTGGTCGTCACCACGTGCGAGTGCTCAAATGGTGAGGCAAGGACGCCCGCGGCGACGAGGCCGGCATAGTGGGCCATGTCGGTCATGAGGTAGGCCTTGACCTTGTCGGCGGCGGCGCGCATGCGGGCGTAGTCCCAGTCGCGCGGGACGGCCGAGCCGCCAGCGATGAGGAGCTTGGGCATAAAGTTGGCCGAGAGCTCGTCGACCTCGTCGTAGTTGACAAGCCCGGTCTCCGGGTTGATGCGGTACGGCAGCGACTCAAAGTAGATGGCCGAGGCCGAGATCTTCTTGTTGACAGTGCGAAATCCGTGGGTCAGATGCCCGCCCGACGGCAGATCCAGGCCCATGAGGCGGTCGTGCGGCTCGAGGAGCGCGGTCTGCACAGCAAGGTTTGCCGGCGAGCCCGAGTACGCCTGCACGTTGACGCCCCACTCCTCGGGATCGAGGCCAAATGCAGCAAGGGCCCGAGCTTGTGCCAGCTCCTCGACCTGATCGATGACCTCGTTGCCACCGTAGTACCGCTTCGAGGGATATCCCTCCGAGTACTTGTTGGTCAGGCACGAGCCAAGCGAGTCAAACACGGCCTTGGAGGTAAAGTTCTCAGATGCGATGAGCTCGAGGCCACGCCACTGACGAACAGCCTCCGCCTCGACGAGCGCAGCCAGCTCGGGGTCGACCTCCTCGAGCGAGGCATTAAGAAAGCGCGGAATGGTGGACTAACTGGGGTAATGAGTGGACGTGGATGTGGAGGGAGAGATAGGATGAATGAGGAGGTGGCGGGGGGGGGGGAGGTAGTGCGTACCATGGTGGGTTGGGATGGGTGTGTGTGTGAAGGGAGGGGGGGGGAGGAGTGTGGTGTGTGAGCAGTGCGGAGGATGGACCGAGGATGGGTGACGTGAGCACACGCGGACGGACTGGTCGCAGGAATGGGTGGGGGGTGGGGGGGGGGGGGGGGGGGGGGTGACAGCAAAAAATTGTTTTTCTTAATCGCTGATTGATGGCAGCCGGCGTGGGGTGGGTGGGGAGGCGACTCCATTTCGCGCGCGCGCCAAAAAATCGCTGCCACTCCTCGCCTGGGACCGCGCTCGACGATGCAGCCCTCCACCGCTGCGGGACGGACGCACACGCTGACGACGGAGACAAGCAAGGACAGCATGGGGTGGGTGAGGGGGAACGTGACACCGAGGCGACCTACGAATGTTCCCCATGACAGGAGTGGAAGCGGGAGCGGGAGCGGGAGGGAGGGGAGCAACGCAGGAAGGCCATGGCGCCAAAACTCGCCCGTGGCCAAGCAGCGGCTGTATGCAGCGGCTGTGGCGACACAGAGTACGGGTCATGGTATGACTCAGGCAACGGTGACCTTCCCAGCTTCACGGTCACGGCTTTGGGATCCGACGCCAGTCGCAGCGCCTCTTCCGCTTGCTCCTGCTCCGCTCACATGTGGTCTCGCTGCTCCTCCGCTTGCGGACCTCCTTCATGCCCTCGCACCGGCTCTGGATGATAGTCACGCTCTGTCGGCCTCGCCGCTTGTGGCCTTTCTCCTCGGCGACATGGTGGCCGACTCGCACTCGGTCCTCTTTGATCGGTTTGACAAGGCCATCGACGGTGAGGCGCCGTACACATCGGTCCCGGCCTCGGCGCCGTCGCGGCATCTTGCCGTCCTGCTCGAGGCGAGCGTCTCGCCCGCTGCTGCGCCGTCAGGCTCAGCGCCTGAGCTTGACTCTGCCGCTGTCGAGTTTTTTCTCGCCCGCTGGCGGACGCTGATGGAGCTCCCGTTCCGCGACTTGCCCGACGACCCGGCCAAGTACGCTGTTGTTCTCGCAAAGGCCCGGCTTGATGAGCGTGGCGGCGTGCTCGAGTTTGGCCTCTTTGGCGCCATGCCCAACATCTCGGCTTCGCTCGCCAAGATCAACCCGCTCCGCGTTCTTAACACGGCGCTGGCGGCGTCGCTGCTCCCAGCGTCCGCTCGTGGCGAGCGCCGGTACGGGGCGCTGACACTCGATGCTGCGCGGCGGGTGCTGCTTCTCTCGCAGCGCGACCCAAAGTTCGCGACGTTCCGCTCGTCGGCCTCTGGGTGTCGGGCATCAACGTCCTCGCCCCGCACGACGCGCTCTACCTCTGGTCACGCCTCGTCGGCTTTGTCGCCGACGAGGCTCTCGACCGCGTCTTGGATCACGACCGCAGGTTCCTCGTTCTTGTCTACCCCGCACCGCCGAGTGGCGGCGTCAGCCCCGCCGGCGCCCTCACCCCGGTCTTTTACCAGGCCTCGCTCCACGCTCGGACCCGCAAGTGGTCGTTCACCTCGCTCACTGCTGCCGTCGCGCTCGGAGCCCTTGCTGCTGGCCACGCCGATGCCTCAGCCGACCCGATCATCCTCGGCGCACTCCGTCCGCACGCCTCGGCTGACTCTGCCCGCGTTCTCGCCGAGGCCCACGCCGAGCTCGACGGTTTTGGCTTCCCGTCTGCGGTCCAGATCTCGGTCCCTGAGGCAAAGCCTCAGCTCCAAGCAGAGTCCGAGCCCGAAGCCGACGCTGTCGAGCTGCCGAGCACGACTGTCCCGCGGCCTACGCCCCCGGCGGTTCTCGCCGCCTCGGGCCTCGATGTCAGCGTCGGCGAGTCGGGAGACGGCGATTTGGGAGACGGCGAGTCGGGAGACGACTCGGCGCTGGACGTTGCCGCCGAGCTTGGCTTTTCCGACCTCGAGATAACGATGGACGACTCGGCGCCGCACCCAGCGTCACATCCGCACGCCAACACCCACACCGGGAGTGCAGGGCATCCGATGGCGTGGCCGGCGTACGGCTATCCGCACCCGGCCTTTGCCGCGTCGATGCCGTACCCGCCGCCGATGCACATGTCGCACTTTCCGCCGCACCTCATGTCGACGCCGTTCTATGGTGCGCCGCACCCGGCAGCACACCCGGCGCCGCCGGCCGACCTCCACTCGCTCCTCCTCATGCAGCAGGAGCAAATCGGGCGTCTCTCTGAGCAACTGCGGACGCTCCAGGCGAGCCTCGCGGCGGCACCGCCGCCGCCGTCGCCGTCGTCGCCGCCGCCTGAAGCTGCAGCCGTCACGACCGCGACCTCCACCGGTCCGTCGCTCTACGACGCTCACACGTCGATGTCGTGCGATTCCGACGTCGATCACGACACCACTGTGGCGTCGGCGGCGTCGCTGGCGTCGTGGCGCGCCCGCGCCCGCCACGAGCTGCCTGCCCTCGCTGGCCTTGGACCCGACGACACGTATGACTCGTCGCGGTTCGACGACTCGCGCGAGGTTGCGCACGCGCATGTTGCTGGCGGCGACGAGCCTATCGAGCCCGACGCAGGTTCTACCGACGCCTGGGAGTGGGAAAAGGTGTCGGAGCAGGTCGAGGCTGAGGCCGCATGTCTACTCTCGGCGCTCAAGCCTGCTTCCGGGGACGAGGCAGCGCTCGCGATCGAGGCTGAGCCGGCACCTGCACCTGTTGCCAAGCCGGAGCCGGCACCTGCACCTGTTGCCAAGCCGGAGCCAGCACCTGCCCCGTTGCCGGAGCCGCTTGTTGCTCCGGAGGTCAACGACGAAAATGCCGAGTACGACGGGTGTGCCACCGCGAGCGGCGGGCCGTCTGCTGATGCCTCGCTTGTCCTCCCGCGGATCGAGTTTGAGCCGATCGACTACGACGACCTCGACGACGACGGCGAGGTGGACGATGTCAAGGCACAGGCACTGACCATCAAGTACCTCGGTATGATGTACGCCGACGGTATCGACGCTGACGACATGGGCGAGCTCGCAGGGGTGTCAACGATCGAGCCGCGGCGCGCGCCGGCCGACCTCGACCTGGCCGACTTTTCGCTCGACTCGCGCAAGTATCTCGAGTCGCACGGACTCGTCGGCAGCGGAGCGTCTTCCAGCTCGCGGCTGCTCGATCGCAATTCGATCGCGGCGCTACCCAAGTTTGGCCACAGGTAGCAGCGCAGTTGGCCGAGTCGGCAGGGGCCCACCACGGAAAAAATAGTTGTTGAAAATTGATGATTGGAGCTCACCGAGAGACCACAGCCGCAAGTGAGTTTGTTGTTCGGCAAATAATCGGGCGGGTCGTCATTGGCGACGCGAGACAGCCATTTTGGCAGGGGCCGAGCTCTCGGCAGGGCTACGCCAGCCACAAACGAGTGCTGAGGACACCTCACGACCAAGGCAGGAAAGGGCGGCATGGCGGAAGAAGCGCCTCCACTGCCTCCTCTCCCTGCACTGCCGCCATTGCCGGACGAAGGCTCTGGACGTAACACGCCGTCGCCCGTGCCGCGGCCGGTGGCGAACAAGGGCAAGTCGCCAGCCCGCAAGCGCCTGAAGCGGAAAGTGGTCAAGAGACGCGGCGCAAATGGAGGCGAGGCGCAAGGCAAAAAGAGGCCAAGCTCGGGCAAGGTGCGACGGAAGCGGCCGGTGCGGAAAAAGATCATCCGCAAAAAGGTCGCCGGGAGCTCATCAAAGGTGAGCTCAACAAAGTCGGCCGATGATTCTCGTCGTCGTGTGCGCCGCCGGAGCTCTGTGACAAGCAACGATGACAAACAGACGAGCGAGCATCTGGCCCCGACGCCTGTCCAAGGCCGCAAGCGATCAAACTCGTTTGCTGGCGCCCTGCCGGGCATTCCATCAGAGTCCAACATGGGGCCCGCGGGCGAGGGCGAGGCTGGCGCCGGGACCAGAGATGGGAGCAAAGGCGAAGGCGGAGGCAAAGGCGGAGGCAAAGGCGGGGCCGAGAGTGACAGTGGACACGGTGGTGAGGGCGGTCTCCCTCCGACTGTCTCGCAGCTCCGGATTGCAGTGCCGAGCCATCCGTCGCGTACCTCGGGCTCGTCGGACTACGTCGACGCGCTCGAGTCGCTCTCGCTGACTCCGACGGTCGGCACCCCACTGCAGTCGGAAGCCTCAACGCCGGTTGCCGAGATCGAAAATGCCGCAGCAGCCGAGCCTGTCGCTGTGACAGAGCCGGCCGACGACGGCTCGTCGTCGGGCTCCTCGGAAGCCTACCTCACTGCCATTCCGTCCGAGTTTGCCGCGGCCAAGGCCGAGCATGAGGCTGAGCAAGCAGCTACGACAGCCAGCGTCGCCGCCAAAGCCAGCCAGCAAAAGGCCAAGTCTGCATGGCGGAGCAAGAGCCAGCAGATGGCGTTTGCGGTGCGTGGTGACGACGAGACGAGCGGGTCTGACGACGGCGGCGCATCGTCGGCGTCGTCGGCCTGCTTTGACACGATGGTACCATCAGAGCTCGAGGCTGCGTTTGAGGAGCGCGAGCGTGAGCTGGCCGCGACGGAGCAGGCTGCAGCGAGTGCGGTGGCGGCTGTGGACAAGGCGCTCGACGAGGACATTGCCGACGGCGAAGACTACCACCGGCAGCGCGAGCCGGTCTTTGACCTCCGAGTCCTCACCTCGGACCAGCTTCGGGACAAACTTGTGGTTCTCGATGCCGAGCGCGAGATGGAGATTAAGAAGACGCGGATCCAGTTTGAGACGCTGCGGTCGATTCTGGAGACGTACGCGCTCGCGCATCGCGACGCCGTGCCCGACGGCGGCGAGTCTGGCGACGGCGATGAGTCGGACGGTTCGTCCGACTACGACTGCGGGACTGCGGTCATGGCGCGCGGTGAGTTCCAGGCTTGGTCCGAGGAGGACAAGCTCCGCAAACAAGTTGCTGCGCTCACCGAGGCCCGCATCGCGGACGCGCAGGCACTTGCCGCGGCTCGGCAGGAGATTTTGCAGCTGCAGGCGCAACTCGAAGCAGCGCGTGCAGTGCCGTCCGGAAGTACGATCAAGTCGGCAGCGTCGACACTGAAGTCGGCATCGCTGGCCCTCGCTACTGTTGCTGAAGACGAGCAGCTGTCGTCGTTCGAGATGGTGCTGGGCAAGACGGTGGACGCGCTGTGGGAGTCGGCCATCGACTCGATGTCGATGCACACTGCGCTCGAGACGGCCCGCAAGGCCGCAGTGCAGATGACGGCGTCGGCCAAGCCGATCGCCATGCCGGTGCTCTCGGGCAAGGGCGCGACAGCGGCGCACCTGGTTGTTGTCCGGCGGCAAGTCCGGCTCGAGGCGGCAACGCTCGAGCGGCTGGTGGACTACCTCACGCCCGCGGGCCGACCGAACCTCAAGTTCATCCAGTCGTTCCTGCTTGCGTACCGGGCGTTTGCCAAGCCGTTTACCCTTCTCTCGCTCCTCATTTCACGGTTCAACCTCGCGCTGCCGCCGTCTGCGGCCGGCGACGCAGGCCAGCAAGGCTACATCCGTCAGTGGCGGCCGGTCATCCGTGTCCGCGTTGTCACGTTTCTCTCGCTTTGGCTCGAGGGCTACTTTGGCGACTTTGGCGCCAACACGCTCATGATGGACGGGCTCGCCGACTTTGGGCGGCTGCTTGAGGCAGCGGTGGCGGAGACGCCGGAGGACGCGCCGCCGTCACCCTCGTCGGATCGGGCCATCCAGGACGCGGCGTCCAAGGAGATTGCGGTGATGGAAAAGTTCCGGCTGCGGCTGGGTGACAAGATTGCCAACCGGTCAGCGCTCATGACCGAGGCTTATGAAATCACGCTGAAGCCGGAGCAGGACAACATCTCGATCGACTTTATCCTCAAGGTGAACGACGACTCACTCGCGCAGTCGATCACCATGCTGGAGGTCAAGCTGCTGGCGCAGGTCAAGGCGGTGGAGATCCTCAACTACGCTACGCAGTCGGGCGACTCGACAAAGTCGGTGCTCAAGTACCTCGCGGCGTATGAGACCATCGTGTATTGGGTGGTGACAGTCATTGTCTCGGGCCCGACGCCATCCAAGCGCAAGGCGGCGATCACCAAGTTTGTCCGCCTCGCCGACACCCTCCTTCACAAGCACCGCAACTACAACACGTTCATGGCCATCATGGCCGGCCTCGACTCGTCGTTTGTCAAGCGGCTTGACAACACGTGGTCGGCCATCTCGTCCAAGACCCGGCGCATCGTCTCCAAGCTCCTGCACTACTCGTCCAAGCTCAGCACGCTCAAGGAGGTGATCGCGGAGCAGGCAGCCGCGGCGCCCGGCGCACCCACTGTCCCCTTCTTTCAGATGCACCTCGACGAGCTCAAGTACCAGATCCGCGCCACGCCGCTTAAGCGGCCCGACGGGCTCGTCGCCATTCTTCCCATGCTTGACCTTGTCCAGACGTTGCGGAACATCAAGCCGACGTCGCCGGCGACATATCCTTTCCAGGCCACGCCCACCATCCTCAAGTACCTTGTCCACATGCCATCGTTTGACAAGCGGACACTGTACCGACTCTCGTTCAAGTGTCAGCAGTAGCCGCGTCGGCAGTAAAGAGCGGTCGATTGCGCCGCCAGGCTCCTCTATTCATGCACACTCCACAGCCTTTTACCGGAACTTGCGCTTCTTCTTCTTGCGCTCGGTCTCCTGCATGCGAGCCAGCTTGTTGGCCTCGGCCTGCTCCGACTCGAGCGAGGCGTAGATACCCTTGATCTTGGTCTGGTACTCGGCATCGTCACGCGCGCGCTTGCGCGAGGCCTCGGCGGCGAGGTAGGCGTTGTCCTTACGCAGCTCGCGCATGGCGCCCTTTCGCTCGTCCTTGATCTTGCGCTTCATCTTGCGCAGCTCCGAGCGGACCTTGTCCGGGTCGTAGTCCTTGGTCGGCATGTACTCTTCCTCGAAGAGCGGGGTGTACATGGAGATCGACGCGGCCTTGCGCGCGAGGAGCGTGAGTGGGCGGCGTGACTTCTCCATGCCCTCGCACACGATGCGGATGTGCTCGACGAGCGGGGTGATGGCCGGCGACAGCGCCGGCATCCGGCCCGCAAGCGCCTCCAGCGGCGCCACAAACGGGCGGAAGAGAGACTCGTATGCCTCGTACGAAGTGTAGAGAACGGCGTACTTGGAGAGAATCGCCACGGCAGCCGACGCCATGCTCACCTTGAGGCTATCGGCGGTGGTGCCGGCCTCCGCCTTGGCCTTGGCCTTGCCCTTCTTGCCTGTCTTTCCCTTCTTGGCCTTCTTCTTGGCCAACCACTCGGTCTCGCCGCGAAGGAGTGCAAAGATGTCCAGCGGCTCCGGCTTGTCCGCCAGGCTGGCGTCGGCAGGGACGGCCAGCAGCGCCGGGAGGACCGCGAGCGGCGGCGGCGTCCGTGACGGGAGCGCCGCGCCCGGCGACGTGCTCACAGCTGCAATGACTGCGTGGAGGAAGAGGAGCGGCTCCGGCATGAACCGCGCCGCCGGCTCGACAAAGGTAAAGGCCTCTGCGGCGAGGAAGAGGCCGGCGGCGACGTGCGGCGCCGTTGTCGCCGCAACCTGCGTCAGCATCTCGGCCATGAGCAGCGCTAGCGGCGTTGTCACACAATGCCGAGCGTCCGAGACCGGGAAGACCCGCGCGAGGAGCTTGATGAGCAGCAGAGTACCCGGCTCGGCGACGGCATCGGGCCGCGCCACCAGTGATGACTGCAGCGAGGCAATGAGCTCCGTGGCGGTGGTCACCGCGTGGTGGCCGAGGTCGGACGCCATGTCGTGGACCGCACCGGCGAGCACGTCGAGGACCGCCATGCCCTTGGGCGTGCAGGCCGAAGGCGACGAGCCGACGGCGGCGGCGTGGACAAGGAGGAGCGTGAAGAGCTTCTGCTGCGCCTCGCGCGCGTTAGCGCCCAGCTCGACTGCGTTGAGCTTGCGGAGCCGGCGGATGATGATGCCCATGTCGCGCGGCGTGTACGGCGCAAGCATCTTGGCGAGCCCAGCCTCGTCGTCAGGCATGTCAAAGACAAACGGCATCGACGCGTCGTCTGGCTCGTCCGCCGGATCGCTCTTGTGGACAAGGCCCGAGCCCGTGCCAGGTCCCTCGCGGCGGATGTCCAGCTTGTCGTCGCCGGTCACGGCCCGCCGCGCCGCAGCCCGCTTGGCCTGCGCTTCCGCGAGCTTATCCAGCTGCTCCTGATACTTGTCATCGCCCATCCGGAGGCGGGCCTTTTCCTTGCGCAGTTCCTTGCGCTGCTTGCGGACAACAGCGCGCCGTTCGGCCGGTGTCATCGACGCCAGCTCGGCGGCAGACACTGTCTCGACCTCCATGCCTGCCACGCTAGCGTCGTCGTCGCCGGCCTCAAAGACCGGCTCGAGGCCATAGGCATTGCTGGCCGCACCCTCATCGTCCGACCCGCCGCCAAGCGTCATCCGCGCCACCCGCTCGGCTTCGAGCTTGCGGAGGCGGTCGCGCTCGATGCGCGCAAGCTCCTCGGGCGTCTTGAGCTTGTCCGACGCCTGAATCCGCTCGTCCTTGGCCAGGTCCGAGAGCAGAGAGTCGTACTCGTCGTGGCCCATGGCACGCTTAAGCGTCCGCTTCTCATCACGAGTCAGGATCTTGCGTTTCGAATCGGCGAGCAGGTCCGAGATCTCGGCGTCAAACTGGGCATCGAGCTTCTCGGTCACCTCGTCCTGCAGCGCCTTCAGCTGCGCCGCCTCATTCTTGAAAAGCTTGGACTTGGCAATGAGCTCGGCGTAGATCTCGCGCTTTGACTTGGACGCTGACGGGTTCTCGGCCTCGGCCTGGGCCTTGGCTTCCACCGCCCGCTGGATGGCCTGCTGCCGCTTCTCGTAGGCGTCGTAGGACGACTCGGCCGTCTTGCGGAGGCCGCCAAACGAGTCGTCGTCGTCGTCGTCGCCAAAGCCGTCAAGGCCCATCACAAGCTCAAACGCGTGCTTGGCCGCGTCCTTGCTGTCCTTGAACTTCTGCACGTTCTCCAGTGTCAGCTCGACGTCCTCGCCGAGAAGGGTCGACGCCAGCGTCCGCCCGCCGTGTGTCAGGACGTCAACATCGTCGTCAGCCACAGGCAGCTCGCCAGCAAGCCTCCGAGCAAACTCATCATCCAGGTAGGCATCACCATCATCACCATCATCATTGTTGAGATTGTACGCCTGCGAGCGGTTGGACCTCGCCTGACGCTCCTTCTGATACCGCATCAGCAGCTTGTCGTCCTTGCTCAGCGAGGGATCATCCTCACCAAACCGCCGATCAATAAACGCATTCCGCTTGTCCTTTTGCGCCAGCTCCACTCCCAGTGTCTCCTTTCGCTACATGGTTTGGGGGGAAGGAGGGGGGGGGTGAGTCGGTGGATGCGGCAGGAGATGCTCATCCATTTGGATTGGGCAGAGGCGGGAGCAGAGTCGGGTGGGGGGGGGATGGGTATGGGTATGGGTATGGGTATGGGTATGGGGATAGGAGGGGCGAAGGGGGTATGGAGGAGGGGAAGATGGGATGGGGGAGTGGGGGTGGCGGGTAATGTACCTTCTCCAGACCACGGGTCCGCGAGATGGCGATGTTCTGGGTGGTGGCGCCCGGGACCCTACGCTGGCCGACGACGTCAAACTTGGTCTTGACCGAGCGGGTCTCAAAGGCTGTGGATGCTTTCTTGGCTGCTGCTGCCGCTGCTGCACGCCGTGCCCGCTTGGCGGCAACCTTGGACGTTGGTCCACTGGTCTTGCCCATGGCTGGTGGGGTTGAGTGTACTCGTGATTGGCTCAAAGTGCGGGGGGCCAAGGTGGTGGCGTCGGTCGGGTGATGGGTGATGGCAGCTGGCGTGGCTGATTTGCGGCTGATGGCATGGGCCAGGCGGCGATGCAGACTGTCGGTAAAGTGTGGATGCGGTGGCTCCCGCGACGGTAGTGTATTGGCTTGTGTGGTGACGTTAGAAGAGGAACTTACAAATGAGGAAGACAAGCTCGTTGGGAAGATTGCAGAGCCAGCACTGGTCGGCGTACTTCTTGATGCGGGTGCCATCTGGGCAGTCGATCCAGGTCTGTGTGATGACCAGGATGGCAAAAACGGCATCGCGAACGTACTTGGGGAACGAGTGGTGGCGGGCAGGCGACCAGCCGGCGCGTCGGTCGTAGTAGAGGGTGCTGAGGCGAGCAAAGTCGGACGGCTTGGCTAGCAGGCGGAGTGACGGAGTGCTGACAGCGCGCGACGGAATGGTGCCGCCAAACTCTGCGGCAGCAACGAGGGTGGCAATGGCGTCAGAGGTGGCGTCGTGGCAGGTGCCAGGGGGCATGAGACTCTTGCTCACAGAGCGAGCATGCTCGGCGGCGTCAAACGGAGTGATTGGCGCGAGGCCCCCCGAGAGGAGAAAGTAGAGGCAGTCACTGGCAGATTTGCAGGCTGCGTCGTGGATGAGAGAGCTCAACCCGGCGTCGAGCGACTGATCCGGGAGTTCGCTGCATGCACAAACAAACAAGTTCGGATAGCCGCCGACTGGCTTGGTAGCCAGGCGCTCGAGGAAACGGATGTCGTTGTGATGGAAGATCCGGGCGAGGCCGTCATCACGCATCACATGGGGAAGGAGGCAGTTGCGCGGAGAGTTGACAAAGAACTGGCTGTCGACGTTGTAGCGGTCGATGAGCCACTCAAAGGTGTAAACGTCGCCGTTGGCAATGGCAACGGCAATGAGTGGGCGGAAGGCCGAGCTCCATGGCTCGCAGCCATACGCGACCAGCGTGTCGAGGACCGTTGCCGGCGACGCGAGCGAGACGGCCTTGTACAGCATATTGTCCGGCGGCATGTAGTTCCACGTCTTGGCAAGGTACGCGAGGACTGCATGGAGCAGGCCGAGGCTGGTCTCGTCAGCGCGGAAGAGGCTGATGACAACATGGTCCGCGTCATCCTCGCGCAAGTCCACCATGCCGGCGGCGATGAGGGCGTCAAAGACAGCAGACGAGAACAGGTCGGGCACAACGTCAGCAGGAAGTTGGAACGAGGTGCAGTCGACGTAGTCGATGTAGAGGTTGAAAACCTCGGGCATTGCCGGCGAGCACACCAGCGCCTCAAACGGCGAGCCAAGACCGGTGTCGACTGCAACCGTCGATGTGATGAGCTCGCCACCCAGGTACTCGATGAGCATGGCTGTCTTGCTTGGCGAAACCACGGCGCCAGTGAGGGCAGTCACAAACGATGCCGCCTTCTCGGTGCTATCGCCCCAATTGCGCAACAATTGGTCACGTGGCAGTGTCTCAATAAGGTACTCGATGACCGGCCAGGCCTGGCTCCTGACCGCAACCAAGAGCAGCGGCGGCGGCGGGTTCGTCAGCCCTGCTGGCGGCGCCTGGGCATGGGCATGCGTAAGCAGGTCGACATTACACACAGAGATGGCCACATACCGCATGTGAACCCAGCCTGCAGCCGCGGCAGCGGGTGTGGCGTCCGGCGCGGTGATCTGACGCTCGATGACCTTGTGGAGGGCGGAGACACGCATGTAGCGCGTAGAAAAATGCGGAGCAGGCGAAGTGCTTCGTCCCAGGCCTGTGATATGAACGCGAGCTCTTCGTCGGCGTCACCAGCCTGCGACGTGCCGGCAATGCCTTCGTCAGCGACAGAGAGGTGGTCAGGCCGTGACTTCAGAAGCGGGATCGACACCGCAAGCTCGGCGGCAGCGGCAGCGAGCTCGGGAGGGGTAAGATGCGGCTCGTGCGCCGGATGCCAAATGTCGCTAGCATCGGCGGTGGGAGCGAGCTTGATCGCTGTTCCTGCAGCATGGCTCTCGGCGAGTACATGCTGTGGGCACGGCTCGGTCGGCCGGGAAGCTTCAGCAGCCTCCAGTTCAACCAGGTTTGTAGCGCTCGGCAGATGGCGCCTGGAAATGCAGTGGTATGCGAGTTTGGAGAACGAGGTGGCTTGAAAGTTGCACGAGCGGCAGAGAGGCGGCGGAGGCCTGAATGGGATGCGGCGGCCGGTGCCGTCGTCCCATTTGAGGCGGACCCCAAGGTAGTGGCGGACGGTGGGGATGAACCACGGCGGGAGCGTAGCAAAGGTGATGGACGGCTCGGCAAGAACTGTTACAACGCGGTGGGCGACAGCAAAGGTATCCCACGAGACGGCGAGAGCCCCAGAGGCGGCGACGTACGGCCCATCGAGGTTGTAGCGGATGCCTGCAGAGACGACAAGGTCGATCATGTCGACAGACACGCGATCGATGTGGCGAAAAAAGAGCGGGCACAGGTCGTTGACATCGCTGAAGCCAAGCAAAAAGGTCATGACATTCATCGAGTTCGATATGACGGCCTGATGGGCAAGGCGAGCCGACCGCAGGCGATGATCATTGGCGAAAGCAGCAGCAAAGTCATCCTCGGTGACAGCAGCGGGCTCAGCGCCTGACTCGGCAGTGTTCCATACCAAGCGGATGTAGTTTGCAACATGATTGCGGAACTTGACGACATCATCGTCTCTAGCAGCTTCAGTGGCGTGCTTGAGCTCGAGGTGATCGATGAGAGCCGGCTCATGAGCATCGATGAGCGAGTCAATGTCGTCGTACTCGTACTCGAGATCCGAGTCAGTAAAATAGCCTTCGCTGTCGTGTTCGAGTATATAGTCCGGATGGGTCAGCAGCAGGGCACTATCGCAGAAGTCGTCGTAGTACGGGTCGTCATACAACCCGCCCATGTCGACATAGTCTTCAAAGAGCTCGTCCGGAAAGTGGCCAAGCGAGTCCATGTACGTCTCCTCATCGACTTCATGCAAGTCGTGGGCCATGTGGGTGTGGGGTGTGGGGGTGTGGGGGTGTGGGGTAGGGTGAGGTGGTGATAGTGGTGGGTGTGGAGCGAGTGCCAAGCGGTAGACGAGTTGGGTGTGGGGGTGTGGGGTGTGGGTGTGGGGGATGGACGGATTGACGGCATGGTACGCATCAGTTGAGCTGGTAGGCAGATGATGGTTGTTGGGTAGGATTTCGGTGTGTGATGGTCTTCTGTATCGGTGTTATGCCCCGGAACGAAGAAGAGACGAAGAAGACGGGCGAGAATGGCTCGATCGACGGCGGAGCAGGCGCTCAGAGGCCAGGTGGAGGCCAGGCCGAGGCTCCCGACACCACCACTCTCTGTGACCCAAGGGAAGGTCATTCGAGGTACGGCGGGTACCTTCTTGGTCGTGGCTGGCGTGGTGGTTCCGTGAGCGAGGGAAGGACCAAGGACCAAGGCAGGGGGAAAGGCAAAGGTGCGCGCGCGTGGGTGGGCGTGAGCAAGGTGGAGCCATGTCGTTCTTGGGCAGCGAGTGGCGCGGGCGACGGAGTCGGATGCGGACTTCGCCATCATCGAACTTTATCTCGGACATGCAGGATGTGGTGAACACGATCCGTATGACCCGGACGTCGTCGACCCAGTATCTGGATCGCCTGCTGGACACGTATGGGTCGGCTCTGGATCCATCCCAGCGTCCGCGTCCGCATCCGCCACAGACGAGCTTTGACGGCTACACGTATCCGCCGGTTTCAGGAGGGACAGGGGCGAGTGGCGTTGGCGGAAGCGGCGGCGGCGGCAGGGCAGAGTATCTGCATTTGCCGGACGGGGCCGGCGATGGCGGCGGCGGGCACGGGTCAATCTCGAGCGGTGACGGGTCATCGATGTCGCGGCCACTGCTGTCGCCGCAGGCGACGCCTACGGGCTTGCCGCCGCTGGCGTTTCCGCTTGTGGAAGGAAGTAGGATTGGCGGCGGCGGCGGCGGCGGTGGCGGTGGTGATGGGATTGATGACGGGGCAGACGACTCGGCGCCGATGGCGTCGTCGGCAGGCACGCCGCGGTCTGCACGGCACTCGCGGTCGCTCTCGATGATGTCCGGGCGGTCGTTTGGCGGTGAGGAAATGCCACAGGTCGAGTTGCCATCGTTCCGGCAGCTGGTGGAGTCTGGAGTGCCGTTTGTGCTCATTCTTCTGACGATTTTTATGTTCCATCACTTGGTGGGCATTGCGGTGAGCCTGTGGCTGGGGACTGTGTTTTACTTTTCAAACGTGCACCTCAAGGTGCATGTTGCGCGACGGGCAGAGCGGTCACGGGGAGTGCTCGCGGGCATTCTCGCGGCGATGGTTGTGCATGTTGCGGTGGTGCAGAAGCTGTTCCGGTCAGCAGACCTTGACAAGCGGCTACTGCTGCTTCCGCCGCCCGAGCCGCTTCCGCTCGACGCGATTGTGTGGGCGCTGGTGCTCAATGATTTCTGCGTTCGGTTTGTGGCGATTGCACTCAAGGCTGGTGTGGTGATGTGGTGGTCGAACTGGGGCGCGACGCGCGAGCGCGGGCAGATACTCTCGATGATCGAGCTGACGCTCAACCTGTACCGGTCTGTGCTCCCAATCCCACTGTGGTACACGTACTTTACGACGCAGGACTACGGAGTTGTCCTCTCTGCGCTGCTCACGCTCCAGTACGTGGCGTCCAAGCTGTATCTACTGACAGAGCACGTGGCGCTGTACCTCGACTCGCTGCTCGCACTGTGGCGGGCGCACAACCAGTTCTCGGTCCCGGCGACCAAGGCGCAGATTATGGAGCACGGCGACATTTGCCCGATCTGCCAGGACGACTTTGAGGACGCGGTCATTCTGCCGTGCAAGCACATGTTCTGCGAGTCGTGCGTCACCGAGTGGTTCCACTACAACAAGACGTGTCCGATGTGCCGGGCCGAGATCCCGATTGCCGAGACCATTGCCCGGTCCGACGGGCATACGTCGATGATGGCGATTCTGTTCTAGTAAATGCTTCGCATGTGTGGCGTTGATTGGCTCGGCGTGAGGAGCAAAGGGTGGGAATGAGGGGTGAGAGGATGAGAGGCCACACCGTTGACCACCTCGCTCTCTGTTCCGGTTTGGCCTGCTTCGCAATGAGCCAAGGGGAGAGTGGACAGGTTAAGGCCATGGAGGTGGCGAGCGAGAAAGTACAGGGCTCGCAAGGCGGCGGCAGCGGCGACAGCGGTGTCGGTGGCGGTGGTGGTGGTGGTGGTAGCGGGTCGGACGAGGCCGGCAGTGGCGGCGGGAGCAACACGGGGCCGGAGAGCATTCTGCCGCTGCCTGTGGGAGCAGGAGTAACACTGCTTCGGCTGGGGTCTATTGTGGTGGACCGGCTGGCGTTCCACTCGCGCAAGTACGTGTACCCGGCCGGGTACAAGTCGTCGCGGTCGTGGTGGTCGGCGGTGAACCCGACTGAGCACACGACGTACACCTCGGAGGTTATTGATGCTGGCGGGAGAGCGCCCATTTTCCGAGTCACACCAGCAGACAATCCCGAGTCGGCGACGCATGCTGACAACGCGACCGGAGCATGGACGCCGTTCTCGAAGATTGTCAACGAGGCGCGCGGGATCTCGTTTAACGTCTCGGGACCGCACTTTTACGGCTTCTCGTCGTCGATCACCCGGGCGCTTATCGAGTCGCTGCCGGGTATCAGTGATCTCGCCAACTACATTCCAATGGACGCCGAGCTTCGGGCGTCGGCAGAGGAGGACATCCGCAAGCAGCGCGCACTGGCGGCGGCGGCATCGCGGTCCGGCAACACGAGCGTGCCGCGCAAGCGCAAGCGGTCGTCGAAGAAGGCTAGCGCGTCGTCGGCAAAGCGAAGCGGAGGGGTGGGCGGCGACGGCGAAGGCGACGACCGGTCGCCAAAGCGAGCCAAGCGGATGAACTACGCAGCGCCCGAGGGCGTGGTCGTGCCGCGTCTGATGAGCCACGAGGAGTATGAGGCGTCCGGGCTTCCTCGGACGCAAGTCCGGTTCATCAAGGCCGAGCCAGAGTATGACGAGCACGGCATGCCTGTAATGCCGGTGGAGATTGGGCATACGGTGGTCATTGCGCTCGGGAAGATTGTCCACGACCGGCCGGGCTTCCACTCGACAAAGTACATCTGGCCGGTCGGCTTCCGGTCGGTCCGCAAGTTCCCGTCAATCGTCGACCCTGAGGTGAGGGTGCCATACTACTGCGAGATTGCCGACGGCGGGCACAAGCCAATTTTCCGGCTCACCCCGTCCGACCGCGCCAATGAGGCGTTTGAGGGCGACTCGGCGACCGGAGTGTGGCGGCAGGCTCTGGCGAGCGTCAACGACACCAAGATCCGACTCGGCCAGACAGACAACATGCTGTCAGCGTCGTCGATCTCGGGCCCAGCCTTTTTGGCTTTGCCAACAACACGGTCGCATTCCTCATCCAGAACCTCCCAAAGGCCGACAAGTGCCCGCTCTATCGCAAGCAAGTCTTTGCACTCGCGGTGCCACGCAACGCGGCGGAGACCCGTGGGCGGCCAACCATCTCGCAGACGTACGGTTCGCAGTCGGAGGCGTACAAGTCGTCGCGGGCGTCGCCGCGGGCCGGTAGCCGAGCTGCGCTCTCGCCTTTGGCCACCCATTCGGAGATGGCTGGCCCGAACGGCGCGGCAGCAATTTCGCTCGCAGCGCTCAAGTCGGAGCGGGTGGCGAACGGGCTGCTTGCCTCGCCGCAGGTTGCCAAGCCCGAGGCGGCGCTCGAGTCGAGTCTCGCCTCGCCGCGGCATCACTTGCCGCAGGCGAGTTCTGCTGGCACGAGCGAGTCGCTCTTTGCCAAGTTTGATCCCCACAACATTGCCGCCCCGGAGCGAATCGCCAGTGGCGGACGCAGCGAAGGCGGGCGCGGCGACGGCAGCAGCGTGAGCGGGCGCAGCGGGCGTGGCGGACTCGTGCTCGGCAGCTCGATCCTCGGCCCGCCGCGGATTTTTGGCCTTAATGCGTTTGCGCAGCCGTCGTCGCGAGTCCAGCGCATCCTGCATCTCCAGCCGGACACGGTGTACACCGGCAGTACCCGACATGACCCAGTGCCACGGCCCGAGCCTGTCTCTGCGATCTCGGCTGACCTCTTGGCGCGATACCGTGTGCTTGTGGAGGCACAATTGTAGCAACGATAAATTGGCAGGCGAGTGAACCAAGCTGCGGGTCAATGGCAAACTGGCAACTCGTCTCAACGCGGTGGTAGGCAACGGAACAGTGGCCCGTGACCAGGGACCGCCGCGTGAAGGACATGAGCGAAGAAGGAGATGGAGGTGTGGACAAATGGGTAGGGTTACAGGTGGTGGTGGACAAGCGGCGGAGGCGGCGCGTGAGACCGCGGGCGGCTCGGGAGTTGGTGGTGGTGCCGGCACGTGGCAGGGAGCAAAGTTGCAACGCAAGCAGGGAAGGCAATGAGAGCACAGTCGCCGCGGTGAGCATCCCATCTGGACCGGATACGAGGCACCAAGGGCATGCACGATTGCGCAAGCGTGCCAACGAGCGCAAGTCGGTCAACTATGTGGCTATGGAGGTGGCCAAGGCGTCGCCGATCAAGGCACGACTTCCGCGGAGCGCACCGCTCGTCACGTCACCGGCGCTGCATCCCAACGTCAATGTACTGATCAACTCCAAGTTTGGGTTGCGTCGGGCGTTGGAGCGCGAGCTGGAGCTGACGCGTGGAAGGCTACGGCAGCGGCCGGCGACACCGGTCCAGCTTGGGGTGCGGACACGGCAGCGCGGCGTGGTCCCGCAGTCGACCGGGCGGCGGGCAGCGCATGCGACCGGGCGCGGGCTCGAGCGGATGCCGTCGGGGATCCGGCGGAGTGCTGTGATGCGCAAACCAGGGCGGCCAGGGCGAGTGCGGAGGTACGTCGGCAAACTGGCGCCGGTCATTCCGGCCATCATCCGCCCAGACATCCTGCCGACGTCGTCGGTCTTTGCGGCAGCGAGCGATGCGGACGAACACGCTCATTTTCTAGAGTGTGCGCGTCGGAGCGAGTCGCCAGGTCCAGAGCCGGCATCGCCCACAGCCAGGGCCAACGCCACACTGATGCGGCGACAGGAGAGTGCGGTGCGGCTGCAGGTGGCCGCGGGCAGGAGCTGGTCCAGCGATGACTCGGACGACGAGTCGGCCTCGTCGAGTCACCATGCACTGAGCGTGAAGCTGCCGCCTAAGCTCAGAGTCGGGCGGGTGTCGTTTGCTCAGACAAGACAGAGTCCAGTCACAGGACCGATACCACGACAGTCGTCTCGGCTGGCATCGATGGCGAGCTTTGCGGTCGACGAGAGCGATAGTACGGAGGCGCGGATTCTCTGCGGGTTCCGACGCGAGCTTGCCAGCCTCCTTCACACCTCGATCCGGGACGGTCTCGCCGAGCTATTCGCTGGCCATGGCGGGGCACTGAAAGACGAATGGGGCGAGGATAGCATCGATTTTGACCTCGTCTCGCAGTCGATGATCGAGATCGCAGTGGACGCAAGCATGGATCTCGTGTTTGAGTGCGTACAAGAGCTGGCACACGCCAGCATCCACTCCGGCTCGCGGCACACGCTCTCACAGTACTCGGTGTGCGACGCGCAACTGTATGCGCTCCTGGCTACCGTGGGCGAGACTCTGAGCGTGCTCAGTGGATTTCTCACCAACCATCGGCACGACGGATTCCTCCTCTCTGTATTGCACCTCCTCGACAATGTCAAGCGGCCAAGCCACCATCGATTGTGGTCGCTCCAAAGCTCGCTCCGCGAACTTCATTCGTACACGACAGGTTGGCTGGCGACGGCGCACATGCTTCAGGATAGCGAGAGCCAGGAAGCGCTGACGCGGTGCTTTGAGCAGCCTGCGTTTGGCAGTGCATTGCAATGAAGGCGGCCGGCTGCAGACAGCGTGATGCGGCATGGGCGAGTGGACCGGCAAGGGCGGCGTCAAGGGGGTAGTGTGGATATGTAGAAGGGTAGTGGTGAAATACGATTGGGTATATCTTGCAATGAGTGTGATGGGGGGCGTGTCCGGGGTCGAGCGGTCGAGAGCGTGCTCAACCACCTAGGTTAAACAAGTCAACGCGGAAATGAGCCGAGGTCGATGGGTGTCGATGACAGCGATATTGATACTGGTGATAGTGTGAGGTGTGTGATGACATTGGGTGAAGTTGTGGGTAGCGTAGCTGGTAGTAGGAAGGAGCTAGGTGGTGATGAAGATGGGCTGATCGGGCGAGCGGGCGGCGGCTGGCGGCTGGTGGTCGGCGAAGAAGGGGCAGCTGAGGGGGCTGTGTCGAGGCTGGATGGCTCGAGATTGCTGTTGGTTGGAGATTGGGCAGTATGACTTGTGATGGTTGAGGGATGCCGGTGTCGGGGTCGGGATGGGGATGTGGGTGAGTTGGAGCGAGGAGAGGAGGAGGAGGAGGAGGAAGAGGAAGCCGAGTGCGCGATGGGATGGTGGTCGCGATGGCCACGGAATGAGGGTGGGGGCTGTGGCTGGGATGATAGTGATGGTGGTGGGGGAGGGGGTGGGGGTGGTTGTTTGTGGGTGATGGGTGGTAATGAGTATGGTAGGGGGGGATGAGGGGGGTCGTGACGTGGGGTCGTGACGGGCGAAATGGTAGTAGGTATGGCGATTGGGCTTGAGCATTGATGAAGGTGAGTATGATGCGGCTAATGGGTGTGTGTGGGGTGTGGGCGATAGGGGCGGCGGGTACTTGGCCGGCAGAGGGAAAGCGGCGGACGTTAATTGAGTTGAACGTTGAATTCATTGAAGAAAAGCCGGAACCAGCATCAAACGAGGCAATGACGTCCACAACAACAACCAAAGATCATACATGGCTTGCACAGCACACGTATGAGTAAGCCAACAGGGACTGGACAAAGCTAGCAGGCAATGGGATGAACTCGGGTGACGTTCAGGTCGATGAGGCAGACCGCGGTTGATCGATCAGATCTGCAGATCAGCCATGACCACGACACAACAGGGTCAAAACAAAATACATTGCATGCAAAACTATTGACCATGGCCAACGACAACAAAGTTGAGAATCGATGGTGTAGTGAGCAAGGCCCGATGGTGGAAGTGGAAGTCAAGGTCGACGAAAACAGGGGAGTCAAGAACAAATGAAGCATGACGAAAAATAAAACAAAGCAACAACAAGAGCGAAAGGAATGATGAATGGGAATGCATGTCGATTGTAGTCAACCATCAAAGGCAAGAGCAACAAAGCAGAACATGAAGGCCGACAATAGCAACAACAAAGCATGTGCAAACATGAACGGCAAAGAACAAAGAACATGGATAGCCAACAACAAAAAAATAAGAAAGAATCGAATCATCAATTAACAATGATCAACAACAATCAATTGAATGTCAAACAATCGAGCGAGTGACGAGTGGCGAATCATGAAAATGTTGAATGACATTCATGTCACCCACCAACCCGCACATGCGACTCGGTCGAACGAGTGACACGGGCAAGTGTCAATGGGGGATGGAGATTGTGAATCAGAATCAAAGACTCAGTTCATGCCCATGCACAGCCATGCGCATGGTGCGGTGAAGAATGAGTATGGTGGGGTGAGTGGGACTGTGGATATGGGTCATGGATGGGATGGGTAGGGGTGGCAAGGGGGCAGTGAGTGGCAAGTGGAGTGGGTAGTGGACGGCGGGGAGAAATGGAGTGGGGCTAGGGTTGACGAGGCATCAGCTAGGGTTAGGAGGCATAAACCCCAGGCATAATGCCTCGCACTCGTTTAAGGGTTAGGGTTAGGGTTAGGGTTAGGGTTAGGGTTAGGGTTAGGGTTAGGGTTAGGGTTAGGGTTAGGGTTAGGGTTAGGGTTAGGGTTAGGGTTAGGGTTAGGGTTAGGGTTAGGGTTAGGGTTAGGGTTAGGGTTAGGGTTAGGGTTAGGGTTAGGGTTAGGGTTAGGGTTAGGGTTAGGGTTAGGGTTAGGGTTAGGGTTAGAGAGATTAGGGTTA